AGTCAGCTATTAATAACCTGGCAAATATGTAACCAAAGTCGAGGTTACAAAATGTTAACTTGAATATTGAGTGACGCAATGTAACGATATACAAGGAATATGCTGGCAAGAAATATTGTATCAGACGTTCATTAGTCAGACAGATTACATTGATCCTTAAAATAAACAAATACCTATTTAGTTGTAAATGTAGTTATAATACTATCGTAATAGTTTTTAAATTGCAGAAGAAAGAAACTAAGGTCAATTAAAAGCCTACACGAATACCTACCTTTTCTTACAGGAAGTGGGTATACTAATATATTAAACAATAATGAGAAACCGTTAATTTTATTTTGTACATAATTTAAAGTTTAGATATTGGAATTGGAAGTTTAGAAATTGGAAAATATAAATTGTGGTTTCAATTAAGCTAGCTGGAAGTCAGTTTAATATTTCCAGGCTTCTACAATTTTGGATTCCTATGTATCCATTTAATAAAAAGAATGGTTTGGTTTGTTTAGAACTCCTCCATTATTGAACAAAGATTTTTAAAAATTTACGTTTATTTATATCAAGGAAAACAAACAAGGTATCATATAGGTACTTGGTCGTTTTTGTGTGTTGCACTCCTGTTGTAAATCTTTATTTATTGTGTATTATGCAAATGTTTAATATAACAATTTACTTAAGCAGTTCAAGATAACACTCCATTATAGGTTATAGGTAACAACACTTCTATTTTGGTCTTCCTCTCATTACTTAGTGGTAATATACCTATCTGTGGTTTTAATATTGGTTATGATTTACCGTCTTCTTCTTCTTCAGCCACTTTCTACCTCTTGGGTGTAAGGCCTCTTTCAGCTTCTGCCATCGTTTTCGTTCTTGGGTAATCTCCAATAGTTGGAGATTTAAGCCGTAATATTAGAAAATTAACAGTGGAATTATTGTTGGTAAATAGTAAACCCTATTTCTCTGATTATAATTTGCCTTTAATTTATAATTATTAGCTGTATATGTTGCCATTTCTTTCCGATGTGTTATGCTTAGAAACTTTGATTTGATTAAAGTTGAAAAACGTACTTAAATTTGTTTTATGTTCGGGAAACATTATAAGAACTATACACGGGCTTAGTAGTGTGAAAGTAGAAAAAAAAGAATGTAATAGGTACCATGATAAATATATCAAATATGAAGTTTAACAATATAGAACAAAAAAGATTTGCTAATTTGAAAAAGTTCATTGAAGGTTGCAAAATTTTGGGAGATTTAATGTTCTTGAAATGACGAAGGAGACTGTCATCATCTGTCTTCAAAATGGCGGTGCGCCGGAAATTTAATGCACTTCATAATTTGTCTATGGTACTAGTTGCATGAAATGCTTAGAACAACTTGAACTGTAACAACCTAAAAAGTGTGCCATCCTAACGAGTCTTTAGCGACACTACTTAATGTTCTTCAACCAGACGCAGATTTGTTTATCACTAAACGCAAGATTAGATTTTGAATTCTATGCATGAACTAACCTAGGCTACATCTACATCAGACAAGTGTAAACTTGTGATATGGAGATTAAGAAATTCTGGTTTACACAGATATGAGGAAGTGCTAGTAACTACTACGTAAGCTTATAATAATGAATGAAAAACTATTAAACTTATTAGTAGAACCATTTTTTGAGATTATTTTATCCATAGAAGGCCACACTAGCCTATATGTTTGTTTTGCAGAAAAATATTTGCTGTTGCTCGAAATGTAATCGTATTACCTTTTTATTAAATTCTAAAAATAGCTCGAGAGAGCGTTATCGCTGACGCGGACGTTATCTCAAGGCGAGATCACGCCGCTCCACCGGGCGGCGCATGCGCTGCCGCTATACCGCTAATGTGCCTACTCCCATGCTCGCTCACACATCGGAACGTCTCCTATTGACTGAAGATTTTTATTTAAAAATTAGCTTCCGTTAGGTTAGGTCAGCAAAATTAGAAATGTTTGTTTTTTGTTTAATATCATTTTTGGGAAAAAATTAAACAACGTTTAGGTTATTTATAAATTAATTTTACTGATAAAGCTAAGTGACAAATTTTTGATTTACCAGTTAGCAAAAAGATTACTGATCCAATCCACTAATCATATTAGGTACACATTCATACTGAAGATCCATAAAATTCGGTCCGTTATTGATGAAGATATCACAGAATAGAAAAAAAATATCGAATTGACAACCTCCTATTTTTCTGAAATCGGTTAACTGTGCCTACCTTGGGTGTTTAGTTTTGTTAGGATGATTTAAGGACAAAATGATAATAACACTATAAATATGTATATAGGTATCTATCTGATGTCTTGAAAAAGATGATCACTAAGGAGGAATGTTGTCAAAACAGTTCTATACCAATTGGTCTAATCAGCCGCCGGCTGTGAAGCAATTACTCAGTTGACAGCTTAGAAGCAATTCTTACATTTGAGAGCGGAAAGTGCGCTGCAGGAAGACTTCCTTTTATTAAGTTACAAAAATAGATAGCCTGATCGTAATACGCATGCAGCACTCTCTGTGCTCGTTGAAAGACCTACGACTCCTACCTTCATACTTTCATATAACGAACACATTACTGGCACTCTGAGATGGGACTTGAACCCATCACTTTTCGCAATCCGGTACTTGCTCTAACCACTGAGTTACCCAGGACCTAACAGGACCGACGAATTTTTCAAGCACTTGTTACTTTTTAGCTACTACAGAGTGTATTTTCGTCAATGTTAAGCCAATTTTTCATTAAGCATATTTTTAAGTATATTATTGTGAATGCAAAATTGATCAAATATAATAAACACATTACTATTTATCACTGCCAATATGCTTCTTGTTATTCCATGTACTAGAAAATTATTGGTTCAACGCAGTATTCCGTACATTTAAAGCAAAAAGACATTAAATAGGATCGTTCAGTTGTCTATTCGACACACTTTATTTTCTATGTAAGTTTTTTTATGCAATATTGCAATGTAAATTAATGAATCTTAAATATGGTAGTCGCTTTTAAGAGGATAAATTAAAAGGTGTTGCTAACAATTGTGTTACATATTAAATTAATGGATTCATTGTGAGAGTTTTAAATATATTTATTGAATAATTGTAAGATAATTGCTTTTCAAGTTTTAAAAGAACATTAACTTTTGACACCGAGCTAAAAATTTTGTACAAAAGAAAGTACAAAATTTATTTAAATTTAATATTTAAGCGAAACCCTCTACGCGTGAATCCGTCGCCTTATTGGCTGATTTTTTGCAAGATTTCGTTACTGCTAGAGTTGCAAACTGACGACAAAATTTTCTGGGTCGATTTTAAATCCTTGATATCTTCTAGAATAAAAACATAGCCAATTAAATTAAAGCTACACGCCCAAGAAGACTATCCCTATTTATCTTTTCGAGCTCATCGATAGATAGAGATAGAGCATCGGGAATTACGCAAAAAAAACTATTATTTTATTACTAATTCATTAACATTTTTCCAACTATTATTTATTCATTAACATTTATTCCAAGTGTTGCATAGAGTTCTTGGTTACCAATCGACTCACAATTTATAATTTTTTCCTGAATCCAAAAAAAAAAATGAAAAAAATGGTGAATGTGATGAGTAACTTTCACATTTTTTAAATGCTAGTTAGTGATTGTTTGGACGTCTACTATGAATCTGACTCCTTTCTTTTATTATTCTCATTCGAATAAAAAAAAATTAGATAGTTAAGTACCGACGAAGTGTTGAAAATGAAACAAATTCTCTATAAGGAGTTTTCGTTGTAGCGGCAAAGTTTTAAAATCGTGTTTTTGAGTAGGATGATTCGACAGACAGGAACACGTAATTTGTCCTCCCTGTTAATGTTGACTGCACACTAACACAAAACGGTTTATTGCTATTACGTTGCACACAACAAATAGTACATTCGAGTTTTCTAATGAAGGAGAGTCTTTGTACAGCGTCTCTTATCAGTCGATCATCCTCTTATCGTTATAATAGGACAACGACTTTAGTTTGAAAATCGTACCAACTTTTCTTATACGTAATTAAACTGAATAACTTATTACTTTACTTCAGAGTGTTCTAAGTTACTAGGTACCCCTCTTATTTATTTAGAAAACTATCACTAATAAGTAATAACATGGTTTTTGTTTGGACATTCCAGCGCTTGTAATAAATATCATGTCACGGGTGTTTTGTACAACATACAATTTTAATTTTTGTCGCACGTCCCTTGATTGAGCTCAAGCCTTTAACGTCAAATTAACGATAAATTAACACATACATATTTGAACAGAGTTTCACAATTGTTATTTCTTATATCAAAATTAAAGTATCACAAATGAAAGCCTTGTATTAGATTACCCTCAAATACAAGGCTTTCATTGGATGGAAATTAAAACTTTGTTTTAAGAATTTTAACATGTAACATATTTATTTGATCAAAATATTTACCCTGATTATCTATTATTGCCTTCTAATAGGAAGTTCATTTATCCCTTGCGACAGAAATCTGTTGATCTAGATTCGACAAACTGCGTGAAAGCATTTTTTTTACTACGCATAAAATTTATCAAATCACGTAAAAAAATGATAGTTTTTTGGAGCAAGGTCTGGCGAGTGCGCAGGATGAACTATGGTTTCTAAAAGCAGCTCCTGTAAATTTACTAAATGATCTCTCGTGCAGTATGAAGTTTTATTTTGTCATCATCATTAGGCCCTCTCTATAGATGAAATCAAATCTAATAGAGAGAACGGGCTATAACTCATTTATTCACTCGAATGACAGTGTGGATTGGTGGGTATTAACGACTGCAGATGCATCCGGGACTAACGACATAACGTGTTTTGCGAAGCACGGAGCAGCTCGAGATAATACATTTTTGGGTCCCCCTCCTATGACTGACCATTGCAAAAGTTGCTAACCAACCAATCATTATTAAGTAATCTAAGGATTTAAATATTGCAGGTGGGGATATTAAGGTGAGGCGGCGGCATGTGGCGCGCGCTGCTGGTTGCGGCGATGGGCCTGCTCGCCGGGCCCGCGCTCGCTGCCAAGAAGTTCAGCCTCACCATCGGTTACCTGCCATCGATTAAAGGCGAACTGCGCGATCGACAAGGTCTTGCCATATCTGGTGCCTTGTCCATGGCCCTTGAAGAGGTAAACCAAAAAATTGTGATGTAGACGTTTTTAGTGCTGTCATAATTATTAAGGTCTGTAAACCCTTCTCCGAAGTTAATTCGTCATGTGAAATCTCTTGTCATCACCATCAGCCCTTTTACGTTCCCGCTGCAGGGGCTTAGGCATTCCTTATGGATGGTTAAGGAGGATAGGCTCTGATCCTCCACCCTAGCCTGATGCGAATTGAAAGGTATTATCAACTACAAATGCAACCGGATTTAACGTAGCACGGAGTTGTTCGAGATAACATTTTTTCGGTAATCTATCCAGTAATCGTAAAAACCCTTGTGAAAGTTGCTTAACAACAACGACCTACTACGCCACTAAAACTCTTGTTTTGAACAAAAATGAATCTATTTAAACCCAATGCGTCCAATCAATGTAAAAATATGTTAGAATACTCCAGTTACTATAGCATTAGACAGGAGTTAAATAGGTTCTCTCGAGGTATACTTTGTAACAATATATCAATTATCATAATACTGTTAAATTCGATGACCATTTATCATATTTCAACAGCTATATAAACTTTGATTAAAATTAAGACACTGCTAAGCACTTTATTAACAAAAATCTTTACTTATAAACGTTCATTAAAGTTAAAACGCATCTTAGCAACGTCTTAAATAGCTGTCAAATTAAATAGCGTCGCACCCTTGTTTAAGCGCATAATAAGGTGTTAATTACCACAATGGCGGATCTTTAACAGCTGATCACCTAGCAACCGTACCTATGTTAGTTTTTGTCGATGGTCAAGCCGTCTGGATTTATTTCATCTTGTAACATGTATTGGATAACTTAAATATTGATGTTTTTAAAACCGGATAATAATGCTTAGTTTAGCTTCGATTAGCTATGAGAAGTTTTATATACGAACAAGCTCTTTTTCGCGGCTTCGCTTGCGTATATTATAGCCACACACGTTCATACACGTGTAGGTATCCGTACATGGAAGAAAGAACACAACTGTATAGAAAATGTACAATACAAAGGTTGAAAGGCTGGTCGTCATGATACATTTCAACTCAACATATGCCGTTATTTATTGGTTACACAAAAAATACGTGTTTAATATTCTTTAATGATTTACCTGACGAACAAACAAACAAAAATTAGTCATTATCCATAATACCTTAAGAAAAAAGATAACCTTTGTACCGTTCTTGCAATGATTTTGACAACACTGACATCTCTTTTTTAATTCCATATTTCATAACGCAGCCGTTTGGATTTTGGTGGAATTTTCATCCAGTGTTTGCAGAAAAAAATTATAGTGTATTACTATTTAAGAAGTTAAGTAGCGGTTTAGTTAATCAGATGCTAAGACGTTGATAAGATGATTTGTAAAGCGACTTGTAAAGCTGCAAATTATTTACAAGCTGTCATACTTAACTGTTACCGTTATAGCGATATATGATATAAATTTATGAGTATTTGGATAAAATAAATGGTATCTATTGAAATAAAAAATATCTACATTTAAGAACCTAAAGAAGCAGGTGTGCATAGTTTCGGCACTTTTCTTTTTTCAATATAACTCTACCGATTTTAAAATGTTGCCTTATCTCTTCATACGTTACAGCTTTTTAATTTGTTCATTTATATTTATATATTCTTATTCAACATACATTATCTGTGATTGTCATTCATTATCAATGCTACTTTTTGTTGTTGTTGTTGCCGTTTGCCGTGATTAAGTTGTTAATAGTTGTGTGGTGATAGGTTATAAAAACAAATTGTCTTTTTACTTATAATAATGTTTATTTATTTTTTTAAGAAATTTAAATAAAATAAACTAATTTAATTATCTATCATAAGTTTGTAAATCAATAGTTATGTTTATTTAAGTAATCATCGTGCATTATCCTGAAGAAAGTTTAAATGCGTAAAGTAATAATACGATATGAGCTCAAAGTTTCATCATAGAGTGCTATGATTTTAAGCTGTTAATGTATCAAAGATAAACAGAAAGTGCCAGTTGAGATAGTAAACACCTGGTTGCATGTTTTCAGACTAGGTAATCTGATATTGTTCAATAATAATATTGTTAGTTTTTAATAAAACTATCATAATTAATTATTTTTATTAAATTTGTCTTGAAAATAAAATGTTTTACACTCCCGTTTCTATGATTCTCTTTTTTCTAATGTTATAATAAATGAAGTATAACAGTTTTCATAAAGTTTATTTTAATGACGAATTTAATCTCTACAAATTTTCGGTGTAAATGTTGTCTGAGCTTTCCCACTATTGCTCGTTTGAAAATATCGATGAGCGTATATCGATAATTACGAATAATGTTTATGTGGGTTGTTAGCGTTATTTTATTATGCTATGGTTATATCACTAGTGCAAGTGGATTCTCATTTACACTCTTTTGAACGAGTTTTATTCACAAATTCCTAGGCAAACATTATTTAATGTTTGAAATGGGAATGATGAATTCTATTTGTATAATACTAATTATATCTTCGCTTCCTTGGTTATTTTTAGCTCTAGATTGTGTTTATAACTAGAGCAGGCTTATCACAAAGCAGTATAGTAAAAAGCCTTAAGCATTATTAAAACATTTTTTTTTCTGGCATTGATGTCCATGGCCAGTGGTAAATGTTGTGATTTAAGAAGCTTATTATAATGTAAGGAAACATTAAATTATCAAAGCTACATTCGTATGCTTTGTTTGGTCAGGTCAACAACAACACAGACATACTACCCGATGTGGAGTTGAAGTTGGAGTGGAACGACACCAAATGTGATACGGTCACGGCAACTCGGCTCCTCACTGACATGAGCTGTTCTGGCGTGGTAGCTTTCTTTGGACCCGAGGGTCGGTGTCACACTGAAGCTATCATCGCGCAGTCCAGGAACCTGCCTATGATATCATATGTGAGTACGATGCTACTGATTTAATATGAATATTATAATACCTGTAGTATAATTATAGTATAATATAATCTGCTCGCGACTGGATCATCATAGACATTTTTATTGGATTTCAACTGAACCTTTTAGATCAGAATTTGTTTCGCTTTATGTTTAAATGGGAGAAAATGTTTTAGCTAATTTGGTAAGGGCTGACGTTTGCTACCCGATACCACGGGAATTCGTTTAGAACCATATTCATTGTTATATTTTGGTGACATCCTGTAGTGAGTTCAGTTTTCTCGTTCTTATTAAATTTATTGTTTCTGCAGCTGTGGTAATTATGTTCCAATTTTTTAGATATTGTTATTATTTCGTGATGTTTTCAATTATTTTCAGAAATGTTCTGATTATCAAAGCTCGATGGTTCCCAATTTCGCAAGATTGGAACCGCCAGATACTCAGGTAAACCATAGAATAATATAAAATCTAGCTTGGTTAGTTTTATATAACACTAAAATTTTTGATTTGGTACATTACAGTTAAATAATAATGACCATTTTCTACTCTTGGACTATAATCGACAGCAAGCACAATGGACTGTAGATAGATAATTTAATAATAAGATAATTTTAGCAAAGAAAAAGATTTTTTTATGAATATTTTATAAAAGCACATTAAGATACAAGACAGACTGTAAAAAGCCAATTGACAAAAGTCGTATTCAAATTAAAAAATATATATAATAAACCGTTACCTAGAGAGGCTGGCAAAACTGTGGTCTATATGCATATTTAAATATTTGTTTCATAATTTTCCGATCATTTTTGGTCATACCTTTACTTGTAAGAGTTTGAAATATACAAACAAAAATTCTAAACCCACCAGGCTACGAAGTCGGTGATATCACTGCTCCGATACTACAGATGGAACAAGTTCTCCATATTATATGAGGAGCAGTGGGTGACGGTAGCGTTAACTCTGGAGAATCACGCGAAAAAGAACAACATGACAGTGAACCATCAAAGGACTGTCATCGAGGGGTTCAAGTGTTGCGAGGAGAAACGGCCGTGCTGTGCGCCAGGATTCTGGTACCAGTTTATACAAGACACCAAAAATAGGACTCGCAGTGAGTATATTCTTATTTACCGTTTTTGCAATAGACTTTATTCTATAGATATATATTTCAAATATATCGGTCAATAACTGTAGGTGATGCTATCGACAGTATGACTACAGATATTATAATACCTCCTATGTATGACATATGGCTAAGTACAGTATTTTCCAACCAATATGGCGTATCGTTTACTTTTTTTGCGCAGAATCGATATTTCATTTCTGACGATGACGGAAAGTACAATTGAAAATTACCATTAAAGCATAAAGTATCGGATTAGGATCTCACTTAGATCCGGCAGGTATCAGGCACGAGGATAGTCCGCTGCTGCTGCGCTACTTAAATTAGATATTTGTTGGGCGACATTTGCCGCGCTTCGTAATTTGCATTTCCGTCCACATAACATCGGATTAAACTATTGCGCGAATATTGATTGAACCCTAAGTAGAAGAAATCTGTCCAAACGTAGTTTTGTCACTTACTCTTTTCCTTCCTTTGCTAGGCATTATTCTTCTAGATTAGATCATAAACCAGTTCATAAGTCTATGACTGGAGACTTTGTACCGAGAAGAACTGGCAAGAAACTTGACGTTGAAAAAGAGGCATATTTAACACCAAGCAGTCGTTTAAATATTCATTAATAGTATAATATTCTTTATTAAGTAGAACATTTTTAATATGAGTCTTAAATTTAGGCAATAGTAAATTTAAAATCTCTATAGGAATTTTGTTATAGTAGTTTATACTTTACCCGATAAATGTTGCTAGAACTTTTTTTAATCTGCATGATGGCAAAACAAGTTTATCTTTATTTCTAGTATTAAAATTGTGTGACATGAATATGTTTAACGTAACTGTTAATATTGTTTCTAACATAAAGTAAGCAATAATATAAAGCAATTATATATAAATTGGGAGGCTACAGTCAATATTCCTTTTTTTTATTTATCTCTAAGTGATGTTCTTGATCCTAATTGATAAATAGCTCTTACTGCTATTTTTTTGCAAAATTAATTAGAAACCATACCCCACAGCAGAATACCGTATGACATAACGCTATGAAAATTACTTAAGTATAGTGTCCTGGCAGTATCTAAATCTGTGAGTTGTCTGAGTTTTCGTATTGCATAGGCAGTTGAACTAAGTTTTCCGGCCAATAATGAAATGTGAGGATGCCATTGCAATTGAGAATCCAGTGTTACACCCATGTAGATTATTGAATCAACCAACGCGAGCTTTTCATCATTAAGTTAGTCCTGCTTTTACATTAGATAACATATTCTTTATACAATTCGTTTTTTTAGCATTTAGCTGGAGATTAGTTTCAATTCTACCTACCTTTAAATGCTATTCTACCTTTAAATGCTACTCACCATTTCCCTAACTGTACTCCTTCTCTTCTCGAACTTGTTTTTGTCTCTTCTTTAGAGCGTGTCCCTAAGCATGGGCAATGTCCAGCTGATGCCTTCTCTTATCATGACGTTATCTTTGTCTCTTATAAAGTTAAACCTCCGAGGGAAAAAAGAAAAATTCTTCTTCAGCACAATTTTAGTGGTATGGATATCAATAGCCTCCGACATGAAAATTTCATCTCTGCCCCGCCCTAATCATGATCCTTTCTTCATTAATCAATTCTCTGAGTGTGATGTTAAAAAGAGCGTCTTGTCAATTACCTCCAATGCAGTGGGCAATGACTGTGTCAGCCGGAAAATGGTAATGCCAATCCTCGATGAAATTCTACCTGTGTTTACACATATATTTAACTTTTCTATATCTGTTAGTGAATTTCTGTCATCCTGGAAAGAAGCTCAAGTTACACCACTTCCTAAGAAATCTAACCATGTCTCTCTGGCTGATTATCGTCCCATATCCATCCTCCCATTCTTATCTAAAGTCCTTGAGCGTCTTGTTCACAACCAACTTAGCGTATTCCTAGATAAAATCAACCCCATGAATCCCTACCAATCCGGTTTACGACCAGGTCACAGCACTACTACTGCCCTTATCAACATAACGGATGATATTAGACTAGGAATGGAAGCTGGAACCATCACGATCTTATGTCTACTAGACTTTAGCAACGCATTCAACACTGTTGATTTTGACGTTTTGCTTCAAAAATTACGCTCTATTAACATTTCTCCATCAGCAGTTGATTGGTTTCGAAGTTACCTGTCTGGATGCTGGCAGCGCGTCCGCGTTGAAGATTCTTTCTCTTGTTGGTGAGACTTAACTGCCGGGGTGTCGCAGGGTGGCGTTTTATCTCCTCTTCTTTTTGCTGTTTATATTAACACAATTTCCTGTCAGTTACTTTCTTCCTACCATCTTTATGCAGACGATTTGCATATATATACGAAAGCCCCCGCTCAAGATATTAGTTCTGCCATTGAAAGTCTTAATAAAGGTTTAGTTCAGATTGCTGAATGGAGCCGCAAACATGGGCTTTGGGTGAATCCCACCAAAACTCAAGTTGTCGTAGTGGGCAGCTCAAGGCTCAGAGCTAAAGTAAAGTTTGAACAGATCCCGCAAATAGTTTTCGATGGAATCTCCTTACAATTTAGTGATCATGTTAGAAATTTAGGTGTATGTATTGATAAAAACTTAAATTGGGATGTGCAACTCAAAGAAGTGAGTCACAAACTTTTTCCATCTGCTGGGTCTTTAAGAAGGTTTCGCAATTTCTTGCCTACTGCCACTAAAATTGCGCTCACACAATCTCTTCTAACGCCCATTCTCGATTACGCCGACGTCAGCTATCTTGACCTTACAGAAATGCAGCTGAACAAGCTTGAGTGCCTTCAAAATTTTTGCATAAGATTCATATTTGGACTACGCAAATATGATCACGTTTCCGAATTTCGTGAGAAACTCAAGTGGCTGCCAATTCGATTTCGCCTGAATGCACATATTTTAAACATATACTTTTAAATCCCACTACCCCTTCTTATCACAAAGATCGTTTCAAATTCGTCAAAGAATCCCATCCCCGCTTCTTGAGATCATCAGAAAACCTGCGGCTGGAAATGCCAATGCATTCCACTAGGTACTACGATAAATCTTTTACCGTCCACAGTGTACGCCTATGGAATGCGCTACCTTTGTCGATTAGAAAAGCTAATTCTCTTAATATATTAAGGAAACTTGTCAGAGAGCACTACCTGTCCATGAAAGTATGTATATAGGTATTATATATGTTTATATATGTATTATATTTTATATGATAATATTTATTGTATTATAGTATATGTAGGTAAATTATAATTAAGTATATAACAATTGTCAATTATGTATATTTATAAATTGTTTATTTGTACACCATCCACTACCCCATCATTAGGTCTTTTATATTTAATTCCATCCCAAGGTTGCCTGAAAGAAATCACTTTTAGTGATAAGGTCGCCAATTGTACGTCTCCTGTTTTTTTCATATAAGTGTATATTGTCTTTGTGCGTGCAATAAAGAATATTCTATCTATCTATCTTAAGTTAAAGTCGAAGTCCGAAGATTTTACTTATAGGTCTATAATTACTAGAATCTTCCCTATTACCCAATTTGAAAAATGTTGTTTAAACCAAATGTTGTTACATTTGGTATGTTTATAAAATACTTATCAAATATATTAGATTTGTCATGAGAATTGATGGTCGTATTATAATTAAGTGTCAGAATATCATAACATATTTACTCCTTACCGGTTTCATGTTTTATTACATTCTAAGTTGTTTTGATTTTGTTATTAGAATTCATTATTGTCCCTGTAATAAAATGAATGAACACACCTTTTTGAATACTTTCGAATAGTTCTTCAAGTAATCAATATTTTCTTAAATTGCAGAATTCATTGTTTCTACTTTTATAAATACCAGTCGTAGTCCAGTCACAGAACTGTAACTTCTCCGTAATTTTTGCGGTCTTACACAAAAAACCTTTCTCAAAATATTTTTTTATAAGATAGAAGAGATTATAAAGAGCATAAGGAGTATCATTTGGTCAAATCATCTGAATACATTTTTCCTCTATGTTATTTTTAAATTTATCTAAGCGTATTTAAGCAACTCAATAATTTATGGCTCATATTAATCCTATATGTAGTCTTCAGTCCGTAATAGTCAAATGTAAAATTGTTGAATACAAGTTTATTATTCGGATCATAATCAGAATAAACATTGTCCTAACAAGTGGCTGAATGTGCCGTTACTCTTGTAGGCTCAAGAAATTGGCTTGCGAAATGGCAGGTGAATGACTGAGATCTTGTTTAGTCATGTATTTAGTTCATTTTAAACAGCAATAGTATCTAGCATGTATCTATCGTATCAATACTATCTTTACTAACAACTTTGCTAACAACACTTGTTACGCAATATTGATTTTATTAGTAATCAATATAGAGTTTGTCTATATAAATATAGAATTTATCTATATAGATAAACTCTATCATACGCATCAAAATAAACAGTTTACAGAACATAATTATTCCTATTCATAATTTTCATAAGCAAATACCGCCCTTGCAGGGTACATGAACTGTTAATAAAAAAAGAAATTGAATGTAAGAAATTTCTACTTTGTGGCATGTAATATACATGAATAAATAAATATACCCTTAACGTACGTATCATTTCCTTTTTTTCAAGTTTACGTATTCTTGGGGTCTACTGCTGGTCTCATAGACATGATGACTGCGATGGAATCCTTGAAACTGTTCGTGAAAGGCGAATACATGGTTATCTTCGTCGATATGATGACTTATTCATCCAAGGAATCTCTTAAATATCTCATGAGTAAGTACAATGGATTAGAGATGATTTTCTCTCTAACAAATAAATACGTTGTTTAGAACTGATTTGGTGGGCGGGGCCAGTAGGTGGTTGCTGATATTTTCTAAGTCGTTTATGTTGTTTATGTGCTACTAGCTTAGCTTATATTAACTGGTGTAAGTGGTCTGTTTGGTTCTAACTTAATACTATTAGGATTTTGTCTAATTGAGTATGTACTGAAGGAATTCTACTTCAGAAACCGAAGATCGTGGTTCTGCTAAACTCGTGTGTCCGAACACTGATGAGTTTAAGAAGCGGGCGCAGTCACTGCTGGTGGTAGTGTCATCAGAACCAGTGGGCAGTTACGAGAATTTTACTGCGCGCGTGCGCCACTACAATGCTATGAAGCCTTTTCAGTTTCCATTGCCCGCCGTATTCGAGAACAAATTTAATAAGGTACTTTTAATAACTTAATCCGATAAGTCATGAATTGGAATCATGTCTATACTAATATTATAGAGAAGAAAGATTTGATTGTTTGTTTGTTTGCATGGAATAGGCTCCGAAAGTAATGGACCGATTTTAAAATTTTCTTTCAGTTATATTTTATACCAAAAAACAGCAAATAAAGGGATGTAAATGGGTGTGGAAGTTTGTATGGTTAAATAAACGTCACTAGTAACGATTGTTTACTATTCAATATGTCATTGTAATTATATCCATGTCATGATATGAATCTGTATCAAAATAAACATTTCCCCTGGGGACCATGCGGGCTAGGCCGCTGGGGGAAAGCTAGTTATAAATACTTTCTTACTAAGTTTTGAGCAACTGTTGTAGCGCAATTGTTATTTCAGTCGGGCAATTGTACAATTTTAAAATCTATCGTAATACTTTTCAACGTTGTATATTTTAATTGCGATTTATAGAATTATGTTACTTTTAAAGTCACACTCGCTTTTGAAACGATAGATGGTTTGAATAAACAATCTCTTGTTACATGTCTCCATGATGAAAATTTTTTAGTTTGCCATTTATCAATAACTTTAAAAAAAATTGCTTGCCTTATAGTTACGATATCTTTTTCATTCAATATCTTCCAAAAAAATGTCGCGACCTTGTACTTTAAAGTTCGTGAATATCTTTCAAATGTCAAAGTTAAAGGAAATCCGATAGATTTTAAAATTTGACAATTAAGCCCCTGGTTTGATTGCATTAATATTTAATGATTTTTTTTAGTTCGTGTCAATCTACGCTGCTTATTTATACGATTCTTTGAAACTCTACGCCACTGCACTCGATAGATTGATACGAGAAGATACACAAAAGGAGAAGTTGACTCAACAGAAATTGATTAGTATCGCCACGAATGGCTCCAGAATTGTCGCCAAAATGATCGATAGTACACCATTTAGAAGTAAGTCAGCGTATTAACATAACTCTTTCGTTCCTTATTTAAGTTTTTAGAATTCAATTATATGACTTATCACAATTATTTTAAAATGATGATGCATGACTTTTGCCTTTGATAAAAAAGTTCTGACTCTTTCTATTTTCCTATTAACTCTCGTATAGTACTCAGCTTCGTCTATATTTCTATGAATCATTTTTGCTATTTAACTTTATTTTCTTTCTCTTTTCCTTTCTTAGCTTTACCTTTAAATTAGACGGCTCTTATAGTTAAAAGACGAAAGTGTCGGATTATGCCATTTTCGAACAGGTATATCGTCCATGCTTGATTAGATATGTATTTTAGGTTTATTTTGACATTTGTTTGAAGTTTTTTTTACAAGTGTTCGAACCGTGTTACTTACTATCCGAGGTTTTTTACACGTTAGCTTCAATTTGAATGAATATTAAATTTATATTCAATAGTAGTTGCAATGAAGTTCAATTAAAATTTTATGGTTGTAGACCCGCAGTTCATGAGTTCAAGTTAATGTAGGAAACAAATTTATATATCATTTATTTAAAATATGTTATCGTACGCAGGTGTGTCCGGTATGACGATTCGTCTGGACGAACGCGGTGACTCTGAGGGTAACTTCTCGGTGTTAGCATTTAAACCCACAACTTTCAGCGATGACGACGTCAATTGTACCTATAGCATGATCCCAGTAGGTCACTTCCAGCAGAGCTCGAGGGAGTTTCCTGTAAGTTTGAAAAATCTGCTACATTTTCTTGGCTATCAGCGTATAATGTCATAAAAATAGTGTCATAGAGGCTTATTAATCAAAATTCATCTAGATTGTAATTTATCTATGTACTAAAATTATAAATAGGAAAAAATTGTTTATTCGTTACCATCGAATAGGCTCGCGAAAGTCCTGGTTCGATTTTAAAAATTCTTTCACCTACGGAAAGATACATCATACGCGGATGATATAGGTTATTATTTACGCGAGCGAAGTTGCGGGAAAACTTATTAAAATTAATTTTGAATATATACATAACTCATGGGACATATTAATATAGATCGGTGGTGTTTTCAATGAGTAACAACGATTGATAATTCCCATAAATGTATTATACTCTATTTTATCAATTCAGGCGCATGTTTTACATAAGTTCGATTTCAGGAATACAAACTGAATCCTCGTCTACCAATCGACTGGCCTGACAATGTGAAACCCGAAGATGAACCTTCGTGTGGGTTTCTTAATGAGAAATGTCCGAAAGATGACTCGCAAATTACGTCTTTAGTGGTAGCGGGCACGCTGGCGGTCACACTTTTCTGCGCTTTAGTTGTTACCATCAGTATTTATCGCAAGTGGAAGATCGAACAAGAGATAGAAGGTTTACTATGGAAAATAGACCCGCAGGAGATAGCCGGCTATTTAGGCAGTGGACTCATATGCTCGCCGAGTAAGGTAAACAGTAGTGACGTATTTTTGAATTCAGCATATGGGCTTATGGTTTTAATTAAAATATAGTCCAGTGTTTATGTTGGCTAAAAACTATTTGTATGAAAGAAAATACCAAAAAGAAACATACGATTTGCACCGCCCGTTACTGCCTGACATCCCAGGGCCTTTTAGCTCTAGAGTAAATATGCTTCTTTTAGATAGTTTGCTAGTGTTAGAAATTGTATGGTTCTGTTAAGTTTCTTATACTGTAAAACTTGCGCATTTACATTTTAGCTGAGTTTGGCCAGTGGCATATCCTGTGAAAGCAGATGTTGTACGCAAATATTCACAACAACGGCTCAGTATAGAGGGAACGTCGTAAGAATTAAGGAATTGAAGTTTTCGAAAAAGAAGGTAAATGATACTGTCAAAAGTTTGAATGTTAGATTAGCTTTCTATATTTATTTTTGTAGTAATTGCTTTTAACATTGTTATGTACAAAATGAAAAACTATTAGGCAAATAAAATTTATATTTATTTGTCATTGTCATTGAGCAAAATGTCATGTATGATCGTATCATATATTTGTTTATAAAGCGTACTTTATCCACCAAAGCAATATTCAAATCTAAATGATAGTTTCACATTGTAATGGTTAATCTGAAATTATTCTGAATGCTTCATCTCCGCTCCAGGATATATCGCGTGAAGTGATGAAAGAGATGCGTTTGTTGCGTGAGTTACGTCACGACAACTTGAATTCGTTCATTGGCGCCGTCGTAGAACCGTTGAGGGTGTTGCTTATCACCGATTATTGCGCCAAAGGGAGTTTGTATGTGAGTACCTTAATCTTGATCAATACAATACGTGCATTACAGATTATGTGTGTTTTGTTCTTTTCTTACTTTTTTTAATTTAGTTATATTAATTAAATTTCAAAGCAAACCTTCTTTTTATAATTTTCACTATTCAATAATAACAGTGAAAATTATAAAAAAAAGGTTTGCCTTACTTGGGATTAAATTGGGTGTAGAAACAATGTAAGAAAGAAATCGAACTCTAATGACTGTTAACAGATTAAAATGAAGTAACACTGATTTTATATACTATATTTGCTTTCAGGATATAATTGAAAATGAAGATATAAAATTGGACAAAATGTTTATATCTTCATTAATCCATGATCTCATTAAGGTAAGCGGTATTTATTACTAGTAGCGCAGACGACATAATATTACTATGTATTACTTCAAAGTATATAAATTAGAATATTGACTTTGGACGAAGGACTAAAAGGGTGTAATAAATTTAACTCCAGAAAATTTCGTCCCACTTAATTTCGCGGTCTCGAATTTCGTTACTTTGATCATTGTCTTGTCGTTCTAACTACATATTCGTTTGTTGACTCGTGTTCCTTATTGATAGCAAAGAAAAAAATAAAAGAAGATATGTACATATTTATTTACTATTCTAGGGTTTTTTATTCTTTTGTAACAAAGATTTTCGTTCTTATTTTACACAGTAAATAAGATGGTGATTACTTTTTCAGGGTATGACATTTATTCATACTTCGCCATTAATTTTCCACGGAAATCTTAAATCTTCGAATTGTGTAGTTACGTCCAGGTGGATGCTTCAGGTAAGAAAATTTCTATTAAAATTTTGTACGGTTTATGGAAATATAAATAAATTTTTCATTTGGTATATTTTAAAAACTACCTTAAAATGTACTGTATTTATTGTAAATTATATATAGAGATAGTAGTATCTCAGGTTAGTTAAAACAGATAAAAATTCTGCAATGGATGGCAGCTAATCTGAGAAAATGTGGTTGTTAGGTTGTAGTTTCTTTTTTAAATTAGCTTTTCACGATATCCCTATTTTGCTGATACTAATCTACAGATTTTGGTTAAAAATAGATAGGAATTTGCCGGTAACCTTTTGTGGTTTGTGGTTACCACATTATATCAAATTTTCTCAATTGATTATGAACGTTTAAAATCATATGGCCGCACATCACGCTTCACACCACAACCGTACGAAGCGCGGTCGGTACAAAGTCCACAATGTGCAGTCTGACGTGCAGCCGTGTGTACATCTATAAATACATATGTGTAAATAGTCTGTAACCACTGTGTTTATAATTTTAGGTTACTGATTTTGGTCTCCATGAATTGAGGTATTGTGCTGAAAATGACTTTATAGGAGAACATCAATATTATAGAGGTAGTATTTTTTTTTGTAAATAATTAAGATGAAGAAGTTGAAGTTATAATTTTTAATTTAATCATGTGTATACAGGGTTATTGTGGAAGTCCCCGGAACTCTTACGAGAGTTGGACAATCCCAATGGGACTGTGGGTGGCACACAGAAAGGCGATGTTTACGCATTTGGTATAATTTTATACGAGATAATTGCAAGACGAGGGCCCTTCGGGGTCACTGCTTTAGAACCCAAAGGTGAGTGTACATTCTCTTTCGTTTTTCTTCTTTTGTTTTTTTGTGCGTTAATAAATGTACAGTCAAAATTTTTTATAAATATATTAAGACCCAGTACTGAATATTGAGCGGTGTTAATTATTTTATTGTAGTCATTTTCCACAACACTAGTTAAGTGTAAAGACTTGTCTTTGTTGCTATTTTGTTATGATTTAGATAAAGACGGATTATTACCTATCGTATGTCTAACGGATACTTACGCGAGACGCTTGACAGATCTTACGTCAGATTTGCGCCGACCCCAATGGTTAAGAGAGAAATTGGAATAGGCCTGATGACAGGGTAAAAAAAAAGAAATCCGTCAGTCATGTAAAAGAAAAACATTAGATACGGATTGTTTTGCTCCAATTTAACAAGAAATAGCTTCGAGATAATAGGCAGGAAAGTTGAGGACTCTCGCTACTTCACAACTATGTAGAAAATGTTCAATGGTTTGACGTAACGTGTCATTTCAACTTAATCTATCGCCGTTATTTATTGATAACGCAAAAAGAATGTGTCTAATATTCTTCAATAATTTTCCCGATGGACAGACAAGCAAAAATTAATCATCCTGCCTATTTTCAATCAATCAATGGGTTTGATAACGAAAATAATTTTGCAGATATAGTAGAGCGAGTTAAGAGGCCTAAACTGGATGGCGAAGAAGTGTTTAGACCCGATACAAACAGTTTGGAGGGATACACTGAGGACTACGTCATATCATGCATGAAGGATTGCTGGGCAGAGGATCCTAATATTCGCCCCGACTTTCCTACTATAAGGAGTCGTCTCAAAAAGATGAAGTCTGGGAAGTAAGTTATAGTAACTCTTAACTGCGAAAGTATGATGTTTGTTTACTTGTTATTCAGACGCACTGATTCGACGACTGTGTGGATTATAATGAATGTTTGGATATAATGAATTAGAGCTATAATATTGGGATTCTTTTCCCCTGGTCTTGGACTTACATTTACGAGAGATAAATCCATCTAAGTTGTACTGCATCGCTACTAGCCAAGGGGCAATAAAATGGTGGCAAAGGCATCCAGCCTGAGTTTACTAAGACATGGCGATCTGCCCCCCAACTTTTGAACGCAGTCGTGACTGAGCGACATTGCAATTGTGCCGCTCCACATTTTTGATTGGTTCACTAGCATACTCTGGCGCTAGTATCTAATGGCGCTAGTATGTAATCAAGAGCACGAAACGGCACAATTGCAATTTCGATCGGTCGCGATTGCGTTCGAGAGAGTAAGTGGGCTGATTATATTATTGTATTGTTATGGTCCAATAAATACTTATCAATAGTGTTACTGCTATTAAAGCAGCTATAATGTAGTACTCGATATTTTAAATTTTATCATGATTACCATTGGACTAATACTTGTAGGTCAAGAAATATCATGGACCAAATGATGGACATGATGGAGAAGTATGCTAATAATTTAGAAGAACTAGTCACCGAAAGAACGAGGCTACTCATAGAAGAAAAGCAGAAAACTGAAGATTTATTGCACAGAATGCTACCAAAGTAAGTTTATTCTATGTTAGGAGACATCGCAACATTCGAAACATGTTAAAATTTCCAATGTATTACTTTGATTGTTATAAAATTAACGTTTAAAAAATAATTTAACATCAAAATTCATCAATATACTATTGAATATTGCTTGGATATTTTTGTTCCTTGAGCAGTTTTAACTTTGCAAGGTGTCAATCATGATTTCTGTGTAAAATTCTGCATGTTATGTGTATCTACCCTGATTAAAAAAAATATTTACGATTAACCCAATCATATTATCCTGTTGTCATAATCCTGTTGTTGCTAAAGGTTAATAACATGGTGTAATTAATGTAAATGTGAGCACTTGAGGAAGACGCAAATACAACAAGCTGTGACGTTCCCGGCTGACGCAGTGGCGTGCACACTGCTTTACATTTAGTCCAAAACTAATTCTTGTGTTGATCCGTCTATTTGTTAATAATAATTTAGGACTCCCTTATTTTGTTTTCCATTTTTATTTATTTTCTATCCCTTTTATATACAGATCACTTTATGCATTAATTTAAAATTGAGGGACGCTAGTCCTTGATGTTTTCTAAAAAAATATGTTGCAGTATTTTTACAGAAAGCTTTGTGAAAAAGCATAGCAAATGAATATATTTATGATTTTATAAAACATATCTTAATTGTGACTTTCGTATGTTCATACGTGTTATTGTGTTTCACGTTATTGCGTTTAGCATATGTGCAAAGTATGCCACGTGGACTTCATGTAAACCAGTGGATTTGTTTACAGAGATCAGAGAAACAAAAAGGAAAAGTTGATGTATTCACTTTGTTGTACTTGTGTTCTTTTCCAGATGTGGAGGTTGAATCCATTATAGTCAAATGTCGTGAAAATGTTTTGAGGTAATTAACTCTCTTCTGGCTGGTGATAAGTAGTAAATAATGGTTTGCCTTGGACAGTAGGTCTCGGTTGACATCACGTACTCAGTACGTTATCTGAGACACCGTGATGGCCGTGACTTAGTTTTCTTTATTGGTTTGGTAGTGTAGAGCTTGCTTTTGGGGTTTGTGGTGATTATGGAGTGTCAGGTGATGGTTTTTTTATCCAGAATGGTGAATATGCTTTTGTTGCGTTTTTGATCTTGTAGTTAATGCTATCGGGATAAGATTTAAGTAGTTTATAGTCTCACGTTTGCACACTAGCATGCCAAATCTTATTTAAATTATTGCATCTTATATAGTTTTAATGTAAAAAAAAAGTAGAAAGTCTTGTGCACAATAGGTTAGATTGATCGGTTCAGTATTAATCAGTATAAATTACTCGGCGAAGTATTAATTTGTCAAATTAATGGTGTTGGAAAATATGCATGTGACGTTCTCGTAATTATTTGGTTAAGTGAACGATTTTAGAGAGAACTGATTTAGTGCATTCAGTTAATAGGCAGACTTAAATCAAGGTATGTGTTCCATTGTATACTATTTAAAAATTAATTTCACGTACATTAAGATAAAATTAATTGACAATAATTTTTTTTTATCTTCACCGAAGTGAATTAATGTGATATTATTGTATCTGCAATTTAAAAATTATAGGAAACTCTATATAAAACTTCTCCTGTTGTGTTTTTAACCGTCACACTAGCTTTTCATATTTTTTGTGAACATAAAAATTGTGTCAAGTCCTGTATATTTTAGAAGATTCTTTGATAAAATAGCATGTTAGAGCGTATATTTTTTTAATATTTTCTATTTATATGTACAAATGATCCAAATGATAAAGGTCAATAAGTAACAGAAATAAATCTTCATAAAAATAATTGTAAGCAAGTAGTATTTTTTTCCTGAAATCTATAAAATTTTCTATGCTTCGATAAATCAAAGAAAACGTGTCATTATCGGAAGATCTTGAACATTGGCTATGTGATCGTAGACGGCTCGGTTAGCAAGGACGATAAGTTGTCTCTGGTTAATACTAAAGTGGTTTCATTGGCACAGGTCTGTAGCGCGTCGCCTCACCACAGGCGAGGGCGTGGAGCCAGAATCCTTCGATTCGGTTACGATATACTTCAGTGATATTGTTGGTTTCACCGCCATGTCTGCGGAGAGTACTCCGCTACAGGTAAGATTCCTTGTTGGCATCAAATTTTATGATACAAACTTAGCAGTAATTAAAATAAAAGATAGAAAAAAGGATAAGTAAGTCACTTTACGATTAATGTAGAGAAGTGAGACGAGTAGCTTAATGAATACTGAGCACTTATATTATCAGTTCTAATCTCGTTGTTCTCGAGTTAATAATATTATATTAATAATTATATTCATTATGTTATATATTTTGTTGTAGGTCGTTAACTTCTTGAACGATTTGTACACTGTCTTCGATAGAATTATTAGAGGCTACGATGTTTATAAAGTGGAAACAATAGGAGACGCCTACATGGTGGTAAGTGGGTCCTAAGTAAATGAAAGTGTTCTTTAATTAAATAAGCTTATTACTATGGAATTGTTTGTTTTTTTTTATCTACAGCTTAGGATGCTTTTTTGGCTAACAAGAAGAATATACGCAAGAAACGTACTAGCTCTAAACAGTAGAGTCTACATATAAACCGTGCAATTACTAAATAATATTACAATATGTATAGTGATAATACAACATATAAATTCATATGTTAGTCGAAATTCTCTATTTTAATCTATGCTAATATTCCAAAAAGGAAAGATTTCATTGTTTGTTGCGTTAAAAAGGCTCCAAAACTTCTTTCACCTACGGGAAGCTACATCATACGAGGGTAGCTTAGGTATTTTTATTTATTTATTTACGCGGCCGAATTGGCGGGGGAATAGGTAGTATTAAATAAAATTAAACCCATAAAATGTTTAATAGGTTTCAGGGCTTCCTATAAGGAACAACGACAGACACGTTGGTGAAATTGCATCAATGGCGCTCGAATTATTGAATGCAGTCAAGAGTCACAAAATATCGCATAGACCAAATGAAACTTTGAAATTAAGAATAGGAATACATACAGGTATGTTGATCGCCATCTGTTTGTTATCAATTGAGGTAAGCGATATGTTTGACCAGCGTTTAAAATAACTAATGAAGAACGTAATATTATGGTGAAAATAATAATATTTCGTAAATAAAGAAGGGGAGTCGTACTGTAAACTTTCAAGAACAGCTTTAATATACTCAATACTTTGAACAAAAATATTTTTTCTTTAATTTATTGTACTGTAGTGACATGTCTATGTTACACAAAAGGATAATACTACGCTCGTGCGCTGGTGTTCTTTATCTAAATAATAGAGTATGCTGTTATTGACATTCGAGCAGTAAATTTAATTAAGTACACATTTTTTGTGTATTAAAACAATATCAAATATATTTTGCAGGTCCCGTGGTAGCGGGAGTGGTGGGATTGACGATGCCTCGTTATTGTTTGTTCGGCGATACTGTGAATACGGCATCACGGATGGAGTCTAACGGGGAACCTCTACGTATACACATATCGCCGAACTGTAAGCATGCTTTAGACAAGATCGGCGGGTACATAGTGGAACCACGAGGCACTATCCCCATCAAAGGCAAGGGACAGGTCAGTAATGCTATGAATCCTATTTAAATAAAAATGAATCTCTAATTGTGTTGCTAAGTTAATCGATGGACCAATTCGGTATTTTTTTTGTAAATATTTAGTTTTTTATAATTTATTGTCGCAATGTTTTGATCTTTTCAGTTACAAACATATTGGTTGGTCAGCGCTACGGACAAAGCAATTCAAAAGAGGCCAGTCGAGGGTGAAGAGAGACCGTTGTTCCGTCGGCCGAGGAAAAGTCCCAAACTTGCAGACTCCAGACACCCTTCATTATCAGGTATTTGGAAATATTTTATTTGAGAGTAGTTGTATAGTTGTTTAGAAAATTTCATATAAATATATTCTTGTCATATGTAAAGGATAATATTAATAGTAACTTCATATTCTTTATTTTGAAACGTTACCCAATGCCAAAAAGTTGTATGCAGGATTTATTATTATTGGGTAATGTTTGACTGAAAAATTTAAATTCAATATAATTTATCAGAATAGGCACAGTACTTATTCACGCAGAAGTTTATTACACAGGGTTAGTTGTAAAACACCAGCAAGCTAGTAGGAATACATGGCTAACATAAAACAAAACAACGCTTGTTCTGTCACTTGGTATTTCGTTATATTTTTCTGTGACACAAAAATAATTTTTAATTTACCGTTCGATTATTTATAACTCTACGCACATATCACAAATATTATAATACTTAACTAGTACTAATATGTAGTTACTCCGCATAGTGCACAACCGTGGCGTTGTACTTTCGCTTATGAATTAAAGATAGACCTATCTTTCGACAGTATGCTTAAAACTAAAAGTCTTTTTTTTTCATAGTAATGAGTTATGGCTAGATTCGTAGATCAAACGTTGTTTATGATGTTAGCTATCTAGTTCTGCCAGTTTGCTGTTGTTTTACAAATAACCCTGTATAGGGTGTAAGCTTTACTATTGTTAGCGTTGATCAGTGATTAACGATTAGTTAACAATAATGTGTTACCACAAATGAAACAACTTTTAAACGGTTTCATCGCGTTCGTATTTAGTTTTAAGAACCTGTAAAGGGAACGAAACGTCAATAAATCTAATTACAAACGCAATGAAACCGTTTACAAGTTGTTTCATTTATGGATAGCGCGCGTGAAAATATAAGAAATTAATGTGTGTGGTACCACATACTTATATATATCATACTTTTTATAGCTTGAAAACGCTGTCCAAAAGGTTTTACCCATATAAATTCTATCGATAATTAAATCGTTTTTTTTTCAATTGATAGACAAATTGCATCAATACTTGAATAGGGTCATGATTACATGGCGTAAAGTATTAAGCATGCACTTGTTTATGTGTATAGGTGGTGGTGGAGTGAGACAGCGCGTGTCTAGCGGCACGCGGTCCGCGGGCGGGGAGTCGGCCGTCCTCGCCCCGCCCACCCCTCCCCCCACCAGGCGGCTGCGGACAGATATACTAGCACGCACCAGGTATATACTAACTACAGTAATAATCAACCGTTTACAATTATAATAATATAAGTAGATCGGTGGCGTAGTGGATAAGCGCCGCACCTGTTGTTAAGCAACTTTCGCAAGGGTCGGTCACGGGATGGGTGACCATTGAATTGGTACAAGAGACAGAGTTAATGTTAATAGCATTCTATACCAGTCAACTAAAGATTGTTAAATAAATAAACAATTCAAACTGAAATAAAAATGTTTAATGTTTTATACCCAAAGGGTAAAACGGGAAGCCTATTATTAAAACTTTTCTGTCTGTCTGTCACCAGGCTATATCACATGAATCGTGAAAGTTAGACTGACTAGTTAGCTGGCCCTTGCGAGAGTTACTTAACAACGGCCGCGAGCCGTGGCGCCTATCCCTACGCCACCGAGCTACTTACATGTTACATATCGACGCTGAAAAACAAACACGTAGTAACCTGCAAAACCAATATGGTTCTTCAGAGTAGAAAAACTTTTATTTCTTTTCGATAAATAATTCCTATAAATGTCCATAGTAACAAATAAAGTGTCCCTTAGTCAATTTATACAGAAATATATTTTTTTGGCAAAATTATAAAGATTTTCCACTCTAAATATCCATTTTGGTTTTGCAGATACGTGTTTGCTTTCCAGCGTCGATATTGTGAACACATAAAAAAACACGAATTATTTGAATCGGAGTAGCTCGGTGGCGTAGTGGATAAGCGCTGCGACCCGCGATTGTTGTCGTTAAGCAACTTTCGCAAGGGTCGGTCACGGGATGGGTGACCAAAAAATTATTATCTCGAGCTACTCCGTGCTTCGGAAGGCACTTTAAGCCGTTGGTCCCGGCTGCATTTGCAGTCGTTAATACCTTCCAATCCGCATTGGGCCAGCGTGGAGGGTCATGGCCCATCCTCCTTAACCATCCATAAGGAAGGCCTGAGCCCCTGCAGTGGGGATGTAAAAGGGCTGATGATGATGATGATTTGAATCGAGCATTTGGTTTAGGAACGCGTTGAGTTCTATAGCGTCATCGACGGTGGGCGACGGCGACAGTGAATCTGTCCGGTGTCAGGCCCTCCGCGCCCAGTCGCTGGACGTGTTGCCGCGCGACGGACGCATGCGGCGGCATCACACCACCCGCTCGTTGGACGCGGACGTGCCAGTCGCCACTGTATCAGGAGATCCTGTATTCAACGGCACCATCATAGGTACCGCTCGTTACTCTGATAAGGGGCTTTCCATTAATTACGTCACACAAAATCCTTGATTTTTAACCCCCTCCCCAACCTCTTGTCACTTATTTATCTATATAAATTCTACTAAATATTGTTCTAATGTCACAGTTCGTCGACCCCCCTTCCTAAGGTGTGACGTAATTTATGAATGATCCCTAATAGGTCTAATCCGTCATAGGAGGTTTAATTCAAAAGAATATTTTACTCTGTTTGAAATAGTAATTGGATTTATTAGGATTTAAATAAGCCATGAGAAAAATGTTTCGGAAATGTGACACTTTTTTTTGCCTTAAAATTATATTAAAAATTCAAACTATTTTATTCTGTCTTGTTCTACTAATACAAAAAGTTACTTAAAATAACAAGGTAAGAACAGCGATATCTAGGGATCTGCTTTATAATGAATAGGCTGCTGTTTACAACTAATCTGACCGATGCAGATTTTTTTCTAACGAAGTGACGTCAGAGTGGCGTGTTTGTTTTTCAAGTCACGTGATAAACAGATAAGAAACCGGATCATTTAATTTTAACCTATTAAGATAATCGTACGATTTTATGAGTCAAAATATGTTTATATATGTTTATTTCATTATAAATTTTAGTTATTTTTAATCACTGTATTAATTTATTTCAATTCGTTCTCTTTGATGTCTTTCATCATATAGTATATAATACTTATGTACTCATGTAACGTTTATTGTCGATTACAGGCATTATAACCGACGACAGAGCTGAAGACAGTCCCCTCCTCCGTAAATGCAGTCTCTACAATAAATTCGAGCGACCCAAGAGGAAAGTGCACGACGCCAACTATATAGAGTTCTATAAGAAGTGGCGTTCATTAGAAAATATTGCCGTGGAGAAGAATGATATCCGCAAGATGTCGCGCTTCGCTATACGCTCGTGGCTGCTCGGCTTCTTCAGTGGAACTCGTAGTAGCGACTCGTCTCTCCGTCGAGCGCCACCGCTGTTAGACAAGGAGTCGGCTGTCTGATCATATATGAAGAACCCTCAACGAAAATAATGAATGTCAAAGATTTTCTTTATACAAATACCTACATCATCACTAGCTTATTAAAATACGCTTCACTATGGATGAAACCAAATCGAATAAGAAAAATGGGCCATGACCCACCATGCGGGCTCAATGTGGACTGGTAGTATTAACGACTGCAGATGCAGCTTACTTACGGCTTAACGTGCCTTCCGAAGCACGGAGGAGTTCGAGATAATAAATGGCCGGTCATTGCGAAGTTGCTTAATAACCGTATCACAGACCGAGTGCGCTATCCACTGCGCCATCAAGGTCCTCTCGAATTTTTTTTATCAATCATCTACTTATGTATGTCTTGTTTCTATTATTTAGTCATTATTGATTACTGCTAGCTGCCTAATTTGGTGCAATCGTTCAGAACTAATGCCGATACATATATTTCGGTGAGTCATTATAATTATATAGATAGATATATTTGGTTCTTACTGTGGGTTAATAAGTAAATGTTGTTTTGTTTTGATACATTATAAACACACTGTCAATATATTTCATAGGAATCTGTTCAATTTCCGTTGAAAATAATAGTTAAAGTTTAAATAGTCAAAAATATAAATACATTTATAAATACTTTACGTATCTCTAGTAACACTGTTTTGACATGACAGCTTCCTGTTTACATGTGACGTCACACGCCGGAAATGAGAACCTGTTATTGGTTGCGACGACAACCAATTACAGAGCGTTTTCGTCGTTCATTAAATTCCTAAAAATGTAGCATTTTCTTTACCTAATTTAACAAAGCTAAACATTATATTGGCTACAGATTCTAAGAAATAAACTTTATTAGATTATTATCTAACAGGATAACCATAACATGCAACTTATTTTCAATAGTATCAAATACCCTATTGTGTCTGACTGTACCCAATTTATGTTTTTATTTAATAGAATAAATATCCACGTTACTAAACGGAGTTAACAGAAAAGTTTGACAGTGAAATAGTGACATTCATTATTTTCCTTGGGAACTGTTCTTATAGCCAAGCGGGACGCAAGCCCCTGGAGTACGCCATAGAAACGCATTCGTCGCGAATTAGTACTTTTCGGTATACTTTTTATAACGGATACCGTTTGTACGTCATTGTTTACTCTAAGAGTCATAATGTATTCTAGTTACTTAGTGTAGGTAGTCTGTGCTCATACAATTATTTATATCCGTGGCTTATGCGTCCCGTGCCTATATCATATTCCAATTAAATGTATATTAGGTATGTATATTAAATGATGCTGTAAATAATATATGTAAGTAAAACGATGTTACCGTGAATTGTGAAATAAGAGTTTAATGTTATTAAATAATTTCTATTTAATATGTTCTATTAATAATACTGACATATCACGATTATACTAAATCCACGGTGTTCCGTGGGCAGTATTCGCACTATAGGACAATTCTGCTAATGTTACCGTGATTATGGAAAGTCAACGAAGCTTCGATTACAACGTTTTATGACACAGTTCTAAATAATAAATACATCTGTCACTATTGGTTTGTGAGGGGACATTACATTAATAATATTGGACTTCAGGTAGATAGTACAATGGTAAAATAATATAGTTGAGATTGTAAAGGTTATTATTAATATTACTTAAAAATCAGCAGAATTTATGCCCTAGTTATTGTGCAGTCGTATAGTACTTTCAGCTATGATATAATTTATAATAATGCTATAAATAATCGCAGTCCTTGACTAGGGAAACGTTACATTTAAGTACATTTTTTTGTATTGAGTTACGTGTCGGCAAGCAACGGTGTTCCGACGCTAATTTTTTCGTCTCTCTCATCATATGTGCATCCGTTGATGACTAGTTTTATGTCGCATGGTTCACACGGCCCCTCCTTTGTCACCAAAGGTGTTGTAACTGTTTCAATCAGTGCGGGTGGACATTCTGTATGCTCTATGATAGGACACGAAACGCTTGTGAACTCTTGGCGGAGATTGGGAGCTTCCAATAAATCGTTACGCTGCGTTGGCGCTAATCTTCCTTCGCCTACCACCTGCGAAAGAAAAAAGATATTGTAGGAACAGTATTTAGTTATTGTAATTTACGGAGACGGTAGTCACTTACTTCCATCAGAAATTCGTCACTCCTGTGATGTAATACGCTATCTGTGTGCGATTCTAATAGATTTCCAGAGGCAAATCTAAGTTTCTTTGGAGATTCTAAGCTGCAACATCTGAAACGAATGAAAGGAACTATTTATTCTTGTAGGTCTAAAACCACAACCAATCTTAAATCTTCTAAAAATAATATTTATTAGCTAGAAAGGCGGCGGAAAGTCCTTAGTCAAATTCCTTTTCAAATACAACAGATGTATATATATGTATACATATGATACGATTAGTCAAAGTCAAAATAATCTTTATTCAAATAGACTTCTTAAAAGAATTTTTGAATCGTCCAACATTTTTTCCCTACCGCTCGTTCAGGACGTCTTTTGGCTGATAAGAAGAACGAGCAAGAAACTCACGAGCTCTAATAGGAGTAACGAGATTTACAAAAACCATATCATTACCAGATCAATACATTATAAATACAGAGAGTCGAATGAATTACCCAATTTTTGAAGTCCGTTAAAAATATTAAAACTGTACAATAATAAAACTCTCTGTATTATAATTATGAGCTGCTATTCATACATACGGTAAAAGATATCCAATATACCTGTGCAAACTTCCAACTTGGTTCTTCCAGTTCTTGCTCTTCAATGAACTGCGTTGTCCTCTTTTGTCAACAGATGGTGGTGGGACTGTATCTTCCTTCAGCGCTCTACGTTTTGCTCTTGCAGCGGCAGCAGCAGGCTCCTCCCCACGTAACCAATACGTCATTTGGTCTCGCTTGCCTTTCATAGATACAATTCCACGTTCCTCCAAAATGTAACCACCTAGTTGATCTAACAACATCTTGCACGCTGCACTGCAGTGAATCTTTAGTGCTATAATTAATAAAATAGACGTTATATAATCATAAGTTATATTCAAAACACCAGCTCGAACAACCACATGTTAGGGTCGTTACAAATCCAGTGGAAAATCCATAGTCTTCCTAATAACGTCTGATGAATGAATGTGACGTTACGCGAAGGATTTTTCATCAGATATGCATCAACCCCCAGATTACGTTCTACTTACGTGCCCCTGTTGATTCGAACCGACTTGCGGTATTAACAGTATCGCCGAAGAGACAATATCTGGGCATCTTCAGTCCTACTACTCCAGCACACACAGGACCTGGGTAGTTAACGTTTGATGATGAAAAGAAGTTTGAGCATATTGAAAATGTTCGATTTATAAAGAAGAAATCGTGTGGAGCGGATAATACAATATTGATTTTTGTGGAACGTGACTAATAGCCGGTTTCTATATTAAGAAAAGTACAAAATATCAACTGATTATTCTCGATAACTTATATAAGTTTTTTACGTTTCACAAGTCACCAAGTGCTAGTTTTATCTACTTTATTCCATTAATAAAACTAAAATCAAACATGTAACAACTTTGAGAATTTCTAAATTTAGAAAATTAACTATGTTCAGTAAAAAGGACGAGTTCATCAAATAGTATTTTTATTTAGTCTGCGCAAGATCATCGCAAAATATCTGAAATTGGAAACAAAACACCATCTAATATATTCATTTTGTTTTTAGGATTAACCTCAAAAGGAAAAAAATCGCAGTCTTTCTAGGTCACTCGGTTGGCTGTCCGTCTGTCACACCTTATTTTTTCTATTAGAGATTAGAATGGATTAAAAAAAACATTATATTTGATCAATTTTGCAGTCACAATGCTATACTGGAAAATATTCTTAAGAATATACATGTAAAAGCAAACTTAGTTCTTTCATTTCATTCTATAAAATGTTTGGTGGCTTATTCTACTGTTTTAGTTAGCTTGTGGCGAGCTAGCCGCCCAAATTTCAAACTTGGGTAACAGCCATATACTTTAAAATCGCTCTGCTTGTACGCTTTGGACCAGCGGCGCTGACTGATGTCACGCATTATTCGATCACCGAGCGTATGCGTTTTCTTATCGCACGCACCGTTCTCGAGATGCTGCGTGCCTGCTCGTAACGTCAGGCCGAGGATGATTAAGAAATTAGCAGTCTGCTTTAATCTTTACTGTATGCAAAATTATATCATTAAGCTATTGCTATAGTTCGTTTCACATAGCATGGGTACGGTGACGTGTGTTAACAAATCTATTTCATGCAATTTATATTTCCAAATAAAAACCATCGTTATAAAAAAAATGGTAATTTATTTAAATTTACATATTAAAACACAAATAAATTCTTAATAGCCATAATTACTGAAATCGAACCCTTTAAAGTTTGAAACATCAAATTATATTTGATCAATTTCGCATTCTCAATGGTATACCGAAAAATATTCTTAATAAAAAAGTACTTAAAAATCCTCTTGGTCTTTGGCATCCTGAGATGGGATTCGAATTCAATGCCCTTTCGCAATCCGGCGACTGCTTTAACCACTAAGCTTTTTTTTAACCACATTTTTCATTAATAATAATAACATCAATACTTGTTACGAAAATTGGAACGTTTTTTTATAGGGATTGAATCAATGAAATCATTTTTTTTTAATCACTGTTGTCGTAACAATAAAATTTAACTAATTAAATTTTGTGTTGACTCGGGTTCATTTTGTTGATCAATAAATATTTTTCTTAAATCCTGTTTCATACTCTATAATATCGAATTTTTATATATATATATTTTATTTCCACATTACTAAAACCTTCAAATCCCCAACGTCACTGTAACTAATGCCATGTGAAAAAGACTATCGTTACCGGAGTGTATCCCGACACGGAGCAGAAGTCTCTGTTCGGGCCGGTGACGCACGCGAAACGCGCGCGTGGCCGACAGCAGAGCTAGGGCCATCGACGCTACTTCACCAGCATGTACTATGCCGTTGCGTATCGGCAGCCCTGAAACCTAACACATTTACGCCGTTAGTACACCGATGCAATTGAATGCGAAACAATTGCGTAATTTTATCAGTTGTATGGCAATGTTTTGAATATTATAGGTTCGATGAAATAGCTACGTCCTTGTCAATACAGTTTCGTAGTAGACTTACTGAGTGTTACACAGAGACACATGTTTCGCATTCAGGGTTCCCACCCTTCCCGATGTCTGATGATTATCTGAATATCACGAATTTTGTTTCTCTAAAGGTGACAACCCTGTTTGCATTCGCATAGTTACGCAGATGTTTCAAATTCGCAACCGTGAAATATTGAGAAAACTACCGAAGATCTAAAAAAGTTCGATCAGCTCAAATGTAGGTGTAAATGTTACAGCAAGTTTTAACTAATACAGTGATTGAAATTTTAAGCAGGACTCGTAAGTAGGTACATTTTAATCATCTATCGTTGGAATTAGGTCGGCTCTGCGGAAATAGATTCAACAAACTTACTATAACATAGGCATGCTTCTTGGTTTGTATATTCGGAAAGAATGCCGAACGAAATAATTTTTACTGATAAGTATGTATATCCACATAAAATTCGAATCCAAGGGAGTCTTTAGATACACACCTTTCATGATTAAATTGATCCCGTGTTGTCGAATGGTGACGGCAGAGCAATGAAAACCTTAAGGTTATGAATATAACGGCTGATGCAATGAAAACTTTATGGTAGGTTATGGTTATGAGTAAATTGAGCACTAACCACCATGTACGCGTCGCCGATCGTTTCCACTTTGTACACGTCGAAGTTCTCCAAGATGGAGTCGAAACACGTGTACAGGTCGTTCAAGAAGTCGACAACCTGTAACGTTATAATGTTTGAATAACATAGCTAATATAAAGCATTCCTGCAACCAAACTCACAGCTAGACCAGAAACAATATCGTCGAGTTGCACTTGCAAGTTACTTAAAGACTAATACCCAAGACTCGTACTCGTAAACACGGTTTAACGTCAGATTACCACAATATCTTCCACAATTGAATGTCAACTCTACATTCAATGCATTAAGGTTAAAAATTAAGTGGAGAAATAAGACAGTTTTGTATAAACGGACGTGTTGATTGTATCTTGGGAAAAAAAGTCAAACCCACACACACCCGCAGTTGCACGTCAGGTTCCCATAATATGTCACATTTCCATAATTGAATTTCAACTCTACACTCAATGTTATAAGGTTCAAAATGAAATGGAGAAACTGAGGTCTTAGGAAGTTAAAAATTTCTTGTGTTTATTACCTGCAACGGAGTACTCTCCGCGGACATAGCGGTGAAACCAACGATATCGCTGAAGTATATTGTAACCGAATCATAACTCTCGGGCAGCACTCGTCGGCCTCGCTTAAGTTGTTCAGCCACTGGCGCGGGAAGCATCTCTTCTAACAACGCCTCTGAGAAAGAGAAACAATCATATAACCTGAACTTGTCTAGGAAATCTAATTTTGAAGACTACACCACACCAAAATATAGGTAATTGATATGTTCAAAATAACTTTTTGTGAAGTTAACATTAACAAGCAACACAAAACTTCTACTCAACTTTGTGAACAATTTTGCATAATTAGGAGACCGCTTCACATACAAATGAGTTTTAGAATGGATACAGACATTTAATGCCTTGCCCCATTGCTGGCATGCCCCAGCAATTAAATATCGGAATCGAATCGAATAGGGGAAACGGGCCATCATGCATGACCCACGTGCGGATTGGGTCTCCAATCCACTGATGAATGACTGCAGACGCAGTCAGGACCAATGGCTTAACGTGCCATTTGAAGCAGATTATAATTATTTGATCCTCCGTTCTATTATCGGCCCTTGCGAAAGTTTGTTAATTTCCGCATCGCAGACTGAACGCACTAATGTTACTATTCAATTCTTAAGTGATCTTATAATGCATAGGTTTAATTAAATTTGAGAAATTTGATAGTCTTGTTTTATAATTTACCAGTCTTCTTTTTCTCTTCCTGTAGTTGATCAGTACGCTCGTCCACTAGAGCTTCTAGATTATTTGCGTACTTCTCCATGATGGCTATCATGTTATCAAATATATTTGGTTTCCTAGAAGGAACAAAGAACTTTGTAAGTTATAGGTATACTGTTTTGGGTCTGAGTATTATACAAACGTTGTTTCAGATTCCCATACACGTGCTTTAGCTGCTAAACTTCAATGTAAGTGACGTTTTCTCATATTTCAAATCTTTCATTTTTTATTATTTACTTTGGCATAAAAACAGTTTGTCATAATTGTTTTTTGGCATACAGTTGATCAATTTTGCGTTTACAATGGTATACTTAAAAATATTCTTAATGAAAAATGCTTAAAAAGTCCACTTGTCCCTGGCACTCTGAGATGGGAGATGGACGGGTTGTGGGATACAGTTTATATTGGCATAATCATCTTTTAGACTATTTTTTAGCCTAATATTCATTCGCATAATGTTCATCAGTCAGGTGACGAAAAGAAGCGAAGCCGAACGAGAGAAGGATTAGGACTTTTATGTAGAGTAAGTATATACATTATTTTGAGTATTTCGAGAAATAATACGTAAAAGCTATGCGGAAGTTATTATCATCATTATCTCCAGCCTATTATTGCCCCCACTTCTAATATTATCAGGCCTTCCCTGTGGATGGAATTGAATCGAATATAATACGGAGACTGGTAGGTATTAACGACTGCAGATGCGGCCGGGACCAACGGCTTAACGTGCCTTCCGAAGCACGGAAAGTTCGAGATAACAAATTTTTGGTCACTCATCCTGTGATCGGCCTTTGCGAAACTTGTAACCGTATCGCAGACCGAGATAAATCATCGAGATCGAGAAGTTATTATGCGTAAATATAATTAATACAAACAAAAGTATGCCATGTTTATTGTGCCTTGCCTTGAAATTGTATGCAAATGAATCGGAAACCTTTCTATTCGTTCATTCTTTCTTTTTAAAAAGGTTGATTTACTTACATGCCTTTCCTGAGCGGTCTAAGTCTAGTGCGTATGGCTTTGAAGTCGGGCCTTGAGATGGGATCCTCTGCCCAACATTCGCAACAGCATTCACGAACGCAGTCGAATCGTCCAGACAACGGTTCCAAAGGCGGTCTAATGATAAAATACGTACATACAAATGATTTTACGAGTATCATAAACTGTGAAAGCTGACGATTCACTGATTCAAGTAATGAAAATCACTCATTTGAGACAGTTTAATGATGTCGTGATCACTAGTATTTTTCTTTAGAGAGAATTTCTTAAGGAACATGATTTGTTGGGAACTCGAGTTAAATGTTAAATTTCAGGTCAAGTTGATATAGCAGCGCGATGACGAGCTAATTAGATGACCTTTGATCGTAGTTATTGGCGATAGATAAGTAAACATGAATTAAACAGGTTACTATATCGAGGGGGGGGAGGGACGCTTATTGAGTACGCGATATTTGCGGGATCCTGCATATTGAGTTGTAAAATTAGAATGAGATTAATCAAATTGAATATAAGATCAAATTGAAAAGAAAACAATAAAGTTTACTTGGATAAAAAAACAACAAATTGAAATTAATCTACTGAATCTAGAAAAAATGTACTGTGAGAAAAACATTATTAATGGGTCTAGTTTGGTTGGTTATCAGTTGAAAGTGTTTACGAAGAAAACATAAAAATATATCATGTGCAAAAGTAATACCTGATGGAAGGCATAATGTCAGCGAAAAAAAAACCCCTTTGAAACCCTAAAAAACACATTAGTTGTCGCTATTACTTTCACAGATTATATGCAAATGTTAGATATTAGATATCTCTCATTGTCCCCAGATTTTTTAAAGTCATTTTCATAATGATTTTATGTGTAACTTGAAAATAGATATGTGGGATTAGCACTCCCGCAATAAGCGGGACTGGAAAATTTTGTGGGATTTCAGAATATAGAGATCTCAGTATTGCGGGTTTGAAAGCCGTTAACCTGATTCATCCTGTCTTCATTAGGACATATTTGATTTTATCGACTCTATAAAAAACTCTACGAACATCTAGAGACACGCACCTACCTGTAAGGCGTTGGTTCGGATAGTGCAATTCGTCGAAGTAGGCTTGGTACCGTTGGAGCGTCGGGTCCAAACGGTCCCTTCCTCGTGTGGATCTCGTACAAGACGAGTGCGAATGCGTACACATCCGCTACCGGCGTGCCCTCTCTGTGTTCGTCCGACAATGGAAACGCGTCCGAGCCCCAGCCGGAGTTACGCAGAAGCTCAGGCGAGAGATAGACTAGATCTGAGATTAAAATATTTTGTTTTAAATTGCAATTGATGGGTGGTACGATGCACATTTGCTTAATTCAGCTAATGTTGAAGAACTTAAGGCATTACAACAGCGTTTCTGCAGCTTTTATGACACAGTAGTTATTCGACAACAAAAATATCTGTCACTGTTTATTTATCAAGACGCAATAAGCTAAAATATTACGACCTAGATAGATATTACAGAGCAAAATGCAATTTATCTATACGCTATTGAGATGTCATTATTATGTTAACGTTAGCAGAACTGAAGCCCAGATATATTTCAAGTATTAACTTGATATGGATGGTAAGTATTGTAGTTTTGAAATAAAGTAGTCCTTTTAATTATTCTTTTAAGCTGAAAAATGGTGTGCTCACACTTAACAAACGCCTAAGGAAGAGTGGGCATAAAATAAAATGAAATGAATGGGGTGGAGTTTACTCCTTTTCAGAGAGATAATCACTTCAATTTGGTTTGGAGTACTAAATGCTTGACCCAACGCCATCTTCGTTAATTCGTATTCCTTTGTGTAATAAACGTAATAAATTCATTGGGTGCCCAAATTCTAGTGGCCATTCGAGGGTCCGAATGAGGGCTAACGACCAAGGTAATTGTGCCATTAGTCTTTCTTGACACACACGGACTAGATATTATGGTTGATTGATCCTGACCATTTATGAAAACGTGTTGTACACAAATATTCACAAATTTTTAATTGGTTTTCTAGAAAGAAATAAATTACAAATAAGTAATTTTCTGTTCCTACCTCTTGCATAAAACTTGTATTCTTTATATTTTATTTATTTTTCTCTCTTTATTATTATACATTATTTCACCTTCTTTAGATATGTCCATTAAGTAGCCCTATCGTTATTGTACCCACTCCTCCTTTTTACTCCTTATTTATTTATTTCTTTCTCTCAACTACCTTTGGTTGCCAGGAAAAAAATGCTACTAAGCCAGGCTACCATTTGTGTTATGTTTATGTAGTGCAGTAAAGATTATCATTAAACACAATGATTTATTATCAGATATATGTGTTCTAGGGTCAATTCTGCGATAATAGTAACTTTTTGCAATTGTTATATTTTACGGGCTACAATTTATTTCCATATAGCACTTACTAAAACACCTAATTTCATGGATTACTTATTTATCATACTGCAAAATGACTGTACCAATAATTTGAGACTCACTTTCGAGATGCGCTCGCAAAGCCGTGGGTTCAGTCGGTGGTATTTCCCCGCGGCGGAACTCTTTGAGGCCGAAGTCTGCAAGCTTAACCACCCATCTTGCGTCTACCAGACAGTTAGACGGACGAAGCGCGCCATGGTACTGCAGTGGTGACTCGTGAATGAAGATCATACCCTAGCAATGTCAGACAACAGTTAATAAAGGTGACATAATGCAGTTAGGTAAATATCTGAATTTCAAATAAAGTAGTATAAGCACCAGCAAGGATAATACGGAAAATTTAATAATAGACAAAACAAACATGGATAAAATAAATTTAAATGCACAGTTGGCGGCCTTATTACTAAAAAGTATTTTTTTCCAGGTAACCTTTCGAACTGGATAAAATTATATTTAGATTTGATTGGGGTAAATTTAATGAACAAATTTAATATAACAAATATACATACTCAAAATATAATAAAATAAATGAGAAAAAAAAATAAGTTGGGCCCCTAATACCTACAACCGTAAAACTATTCAACCTCTTTCATATAGACTGATAAAATTAATTCTTCCTGCTTTCATAAAGAGTATAAACCTTTGATGTGGGCAGGAAGAATTAATTTCCTTAGTAAATTTCTAAACGTTTTGCCTTTTAGTTAATTAAAACACTAAAAGCTTCGGCCCCTTAAAAGTGAAAGTTAGTGAACTGAACATTTAAGTGCCTTCACAGTAGGTATTAGGCTGCGACCGCATTGCGATTAAACGCATGTCTGAAACTTTTCGGTTGTCTAAAAGAATAATCTTCTAGTATAAACAAGTGCATGCATGAGCAAACTGAAAACGCAAGTGGTAATATATAGGATATTGCGTTTTCAGGGATTTAAAACGCACTGGGGTCTCTGCCTTATATAAGAGGAAATACATGAATATAGAAAAATAAAGACTTTTTATAAAAAAATTGAATCGACTTCAAATTTAAAAAAGTGAAATATAATACTTAACTTAAAAGCGGTTAAATTTATAAGAAATATTGAAGTCCGACTGAGGTTTTCTGTCACAGAACATAGAGAGAGATCTATGTTCTGTGGTTTTCTGTAGTTAATTAAATATTAACAGCATATTTTTTAATAAAACGTTTTAATTTCATGTATTTTAGTGATATTTTGGGGTAACTAACATCACGCTAAACTAATACACATTTAAGACTTCTATGATTTTCTCATAGATGGCATTTGCCAGATCTTGATCAAATTAAAATGAGACCACACGGCAAGCTTTCAAATAAAGAAAGGATCATCAAAATCGGTCCACCCAGTAAAAAGTTATGAGGTAACAAACAGAAAAAAAGGTTGAATTGATAACCTGCTCCTTTTTTTTTGAAGTTGGTTAAATGTAATATTACTTACCCACGTATACATCACATAATAATGTTCATAAACGATAGAAAGTAAACAAGATGTCAAACAAACAAATTTGTATAATGTAGGTACGGCACCAACCAAGTAATAACGTCTACACATACATCCACCATTATTAATGTGTACACACTACAGATCCATCAATTTGGTAAGTGTTACTTACCCTAATAATGTCGGCGACGAGGGAAGCTACAAACATGTTGTCGAGCTTGATATCTTCATTTTCAAGAATATCCTGTGGGCAAATGCAAACGTTAACTGATTCTTTGGAATTTAAAAAAAAAAATCCAAATTTAACAATTTCCTAATTCAACTTTGACCAAGTTTATATTTAGTAAGTACTTAGTTAATTAAGTAAAAAGCTACCTTTAAACTTCCTCTTGTACAGTATTCTGATAGAGCGCAAACGTTAGGTGGTTCGATACATGCCCCTACGAATCCATTCACATTGTCGTGTTGCAAGTCCCTCATCTAAAATATAGAAATGGTATCTGGTTATTAATGATTACAATTAAATTTATAGATCATAAGGTTTTAATGGCTTGTACCATGGAATTAATAGCGACTGCTCTAACGACTAAAAAAATATGTATACAAGCGCACTATTTCTTTCGGCTGTTTAGGTAGATTCAAGTGCAAATGAATCGGAAGAGCATTTCATATGGTCGAATTTAAATAGACCATTTTACAGAAAAAATTGTTTTTCTAAAATTTCCACAGAGAGTTACAGACTTTAATGCTTTTATATTAAGCGCTGGTGACGCCGCTTCAATTATATGTTAATTTATTTCCCTAAGAATACAAAATTTCTCTCTGTAAAGGTATTCCTTGCGTGCTTTCGGGGGTCTGTTGTTCTGTGTCGCCGCTGCGGGCGCTAAAGAGGTTGCATGTCACGTTTGCAACTTCACCGCCAGCAATCTACTTATACTCTATGATATACATCGATATAAAAAATATAAATCGCTCACGAACAAATAACCACCTCCTTTTGGATTTCGAAGTCGGTTAAAAAACGGGATTGTCATTCGTCTTTTGTCATTTGAATATACATTGAACCGCATAATTTAAAATACAATTTCCGTAAAATATACGCATAAAACAAGGACAGAAGATCACACCGATTGTGGACAGTGCGACAGTAGCTGGTTCTAGTCCTGGTGGTGTTCATTAATCGGTAAGTACTCTCTATTGTATATCAGAGTTCTATAGCGTGTAATCTAGGGACAAACTTCTTCTTTCTTATAGTCTTTTTTTCATTCTCGCTTCTTTAAACTTATTAATCGTATATTTTCCGATTAAGCTGCAAAGTTACGATGGGAATAGCCATTGAGCATAATTCGTAAAAACGATTTTGATGATTGATCACCTACGATAAAGAAGTAATGACAAAATTTCACTACTAATAACCTTCATAGTATGAAGTGAATATCGGTAAATGGCATTTTTTCATAATGGATTATAATGTTTTTCAAGTTTCCTTAATATAACAGAATTTAAAAAACATATTTCTTAATACACATGAATTTATATGATTAATGATCTAACAAAAAATACAGTATTTTCTTGGATTTTCAAGAGATCTATTAAAGTTTCTGAAATAAAAGTTAAAGATGCTTATAAAATATACAAAATTGAATAATAATATCATATTTTTAAATACTAGAAATTATAAGTAACAAATAAAGTGTTCAACTTCTTTACTGCAAGTTTTTAAGCAATTAAAAGCTCACTTAATTCTTGTACGTTTCAATAAACCTTTGCTAATGGGTGTGTAAGAGGTTAGTTAAGAAGAAAGACTGGCCGGTTTAGAAGGTGGCACTAAGGCCTTGCAAACACATCGTTGTAGTTGGAGTTTTTCGCACCTGGACAAATTTTACCTTATTTGTACTTTAGCTTTGTACACTCGCTGCCAGACTGGATTGCACAATCTTGCAAAAGTATACAACTTTTAAGTACCTACTTACGATATCTCTTAAACGCTCTCGTTATTCTGAAAACTGCGTGTTGACACTATGTCACTTTTTATTTCAGATATAAAAAAAAAAAAAAAAATAATAAAAATTTTATTTCTCATCACACAGAATGTTTTACATACTAGTAAGTTACAAACACAGTTGTTCTTAAGATTCTGGTGTGAGACTGATGCCTAAGTTAGATATTCAGAAGAATACCTGTATTAAAGGTCATCAGGCCTCCACTCCCGACAAAAGGATGACATAATAATGTTATAACTTACTACTTAAGGGTACAGTTATACAAATGTATACATTTAATGAAAAGTTTATTGTAATATGCAATTTAGAATTAAAGATGATCAGGTGTGACATGCATGGGTACGATATGTGTGTGCGTGTGTTTGTGTGTGTGTGAGTGTGTGTGTGTGAGTGTGTGTGTGTGAGTGTGTGTGTGTGAGTGTGTGTGTGTGAGTGTGTGTGTGTGAGTGTGTGTGTGTGTGAGTGTGTGTGTGTGTGTGAGTGTGTGTGTGTGAGTGTGTGTGTGAGTGTGTGTGTGTGTGTGTGTGTGTGTGTGTGCGTGCGTGCGTGCGTGCGTGCGTGCGTGCGTGCGTGCGTGCGTGCGTGCGTGCGTGCGTGCGTGCGTGCGTGCGTGCGTGCGTGCGTGCGTGCGTGCGTGCGTGCGTGCGTGCGTGCGTGCGTGCGTGCGTGCGTGTGTGTGTGTGTGTGGTGTAATGCAACGGTATAGTACTAATACTATTGTGTTATGATGAATATCCAAAATGTCATCTTCACATGATTAAATTAAGTTTGGCGAAATAAGGTTTTCGCAGTCATTATAGTCAAGTTCTTTTAACCATTTCAATATTATTTGGTTTACCTGTCGTGTATTGGTTTTTCTTAATATCGATTTCTTGTCTATTTTATTGCATAACTTAGGTGCGAGGTAATTATATTGTCTCCTAGCAACACTACTTTTAACTAAAGGCATTGGATACTTTTTATTTCTTTTGGTCGAGTCTGGTAATAAAGGAATGGTATATTGGTGGTAGCGTTTTATACATTGATAAATAAACGTTTTACGAACTGTAAGTACTCTCGAGAGCCTATAAAGAGATGTAGTTGGATGTCTGTATGGCAGCTTGTGTAGAACCTTTAGAACAGCTCTCTGGGCCCTTTCCATTTCTATTAAGTATGTTTTTGCAGCGCCACCCCATGAACAAATACAATAATTGATAAGACTATGACAGAGTGCATCATAAGTTCGAAGTAGAAGTGTCTTGTCAGCAATATCTCGTAGATTTTTAAACACAATAATTAATTTTCTTATTCTTCCAGCTAATGTTGTGATGTGATGTCTCCATGTAAGTCTTTCATCAATCGTTATCCCAAGATATTTAATTTTATCAGTTTGTTTTAATATGTTGCAGTTACAATCATTGTGTTGTTGATTTTTGTTATTAATGTTGCATGGAAACTTGTGAATTATTAATTTTGTATTAGGTGTTGGACGTGTTATGGCTGTTTTATGGAAACAAATATATTTAGTTTTTTCTGTATTAAGTGTAAGCAGACTATTCTCCAACCATTGCGTTACTCTATTCAAGCCCATCTCAGCTCCTTCCACAACAGAGTTCCAGGTAGGGTTGTGGAACACAAGCACTGTGTCATCAGCAAACATGATAAGATCCGCATTACAGAGGTTTGTTTTACATAGTTCGTTAATGTAAATTAAAAATAACGTTGGACCTAACGTACTGCCCTGCGGAATACCATAAGCGCAGACAGCGGAATTACTATAAACGTTACCCACGCGTACTCTTTGGGTTCTACTATCCAAATAATCGGACACCCAATCGTGAGCGATACCTCTAACACCAATATTTTCCAAACGAGTGAGTAGGACAGGAATAGACACCGTATCAAAAGCTTTTTGTAAGTCTAAAAACACCCCAATACATTTGTCCCCCTGATCCAGGTACGTGGAAATTTTAGAGGTTAGTTCTAAAACGGCATCATTACATGAACGTTTACTCCTAAAACCAAATTGGTTGGGTGCTATTAGATTATTATTTTCAAGAAATGCCATTAATCTTTTATTGAAGACTTTTTCAATTATTTTCGACAGTGATGATAATAGTGAAATGAATAGTGAATGTGATAATATAGTTTTAACATATATTGATATTCAAAGAGAAAATTTTATTAATATAATTTCGAACTAAATACCTATACTTTATATCTTACTAAGTTGAGGATTTCTCTTGCGTTATTAGTTGGAAAAACACAAAAGATTTCTATTTACGCAGACAGAAATTTGTGACAAATATTATATGGCATTATGAGTAATATTAAGCATTCGATAAAATTCTATTTTTACATCAACCTCAATTCTTGTTGGAGTTAGAATTAGAAGAAATCCACCAAATAGAAGTTATTATTATTGAGAAAATCTAAGCTTAGTTGTTTATATCAATTTAGTTGTAGGTACCTGGTGGGTGTGTGTTACAACAAATCCGGATGAATGCAAGTGATTACTCTCAGTCTCAGTCATTGCTCCGACATCCCGTAGAAAATGTTTTGTTTAGTAAGGGAGTACTGAGCTCATTTTATAGCGGGGCTTACGCGGGCGTAACGAGACTACTGCGTCTTTATCCGTAAATATTTCTACGCAGTGGCTAAATAGAAAAAAAGTACCAATTTACGTCATCTTAAGCACCTTTATAATTTACCTCACAATGTTTGTCTTATATCCACTAACATTAAGTAATCTGAAATTAAGGAAATGGTATATAAGGCTTAAATTACAGTTTATATTTTAAAGAGAATTTTCTGTTAGTACCAGTAGAAAGTTACTTAAGGATGCTCTTAAGTATCTAAGCCTAAGTAATTTTAAGGTTATAGAGCCTGGACTCTGTATTTTTGAAATAGATAATAGGAAGGGTATGTTGGATCTAATTGATGTATTTTTGACGTCGTGACGATGAAGATTAAGATATAAAGTTTTATGAAGATATCTCCAGATTGTGTTAAGGTTATATTAAGCCACCCTCACGACCTCACCCAGTTCGGTTTCATATATTAGATCATATTAGCCCTGACTCGTGTGTCGAGCAAATGTATGAAAATTAGCCTGTCTGCTCGTCGTGTTACACGGCGCGGGTTTAATATAACTGGCACATTTCGGTGCTCACTCACATACTAATTCGAATAAATTACAAAGTATTATTATTCTATTATTCTATTAATATTAAGTTATGGAATAACAAACTTCATTAATGCTTTTTTCAAGCCAAAAATTTTTGATAAAGAAAATATACATAATGTAATAATGATAATTTTTTTTGCGTAAAATTGGCTTTACTTTTTACGTAAAATTCTTAAAAAAAGGCAAAAATGGACTCACTTTCATGATTTTTGATTAGGGTTTAGATAAAAATATTGAAAGCAGCAAAGTATAATATATTTTTTTTATCTGTGCGTGACTAAAAATATGACAATTTGTTTTATGCGAAAAGAGTTATTTTCCAACGAATAAACATGAAACAGCTCGAAAATACGAGTGTTTTCAAAGATCATAAGTTTTACCGCTGTATAACAAAACTCATTTGTACACAGAATATATTTTAAGAAGCATAAAACACAATTCGTTATTTTCTCTGTCCAAATTAAATTAAGTTGTAACGATGATAAAGAAATCTTTTTTGTCTTTTGATGCATCTAATTTATTTTAAGTTAACAGATCAATTCGGTATTCCATAATAAATAGTAAATTTAATAATGTAAAAATATGTCTTGTATATTTAATATCCATAAGATAACAATAAAATAGACACGGGAGACGCTCTATTGTATAAAATCTACAAAGACTGCTCAAAATTAGTATGATTTATTGATGCAGCCTCGCAATATTTACTAATTTATCGAATACCGTTTCCATGCAAATATTTTTATATTGCGACAAAGCAACGATACGTACCTAATAGATATTTTATTATTGTGTTTACGCCTGAGTCTAATACAGCATCTCAATTTATGGATATTCACTAAAATATATAAATATTTGATGTGTCATGTATATTTATTCCCTACACAGAAATGTATACTTACAATTTTCAACTCCTTCTTGATTTCCCTATTGATATCAATGTGATGTCTTCGCACTCTTTTGACAGCAAGAAGGCGCCCTCTGTATAGTGCAACTTCCGTGAAGATAGCCGAATATCTGAAGTCGAGGTCGGGATTGGAGCTGAGCGAAACTTGACTGGAGCGTACACCACCGTTTGCTCCAGCTTTCTCATTTGTGACCGTGTTGCATGAAGAGTTGGGGTTCACAACAGCGCTGCTGTCTTGCTGGAAAAAATCAGCTCTGACCTACTTGACGATTGTGTTTTACTTGCTAACATAAGGGTGAAAGGGTTTAGCAGATAGGCACAGAGGGTCAGAGATCGGATATCGGGTTTCGTACTTGAGGGGTTACACTTCATGGCGGATTTATTATTTAGGTAAACTAGGCACGTATTTACCTAGGGGCGCTACGATACAAAGAGACGCGTTTGAGGAAAAAGTACTATGACCTACGTTACCTGATTCATAGCAAAAACCCTCTAGCCCAAGGTCATGCTGCTTGTCTGTTTGTTTAATTTCTTACAGCTCTATTTGTTAATGGAAATTTAGTAGGCTGACATATAAAGAATCTAAAGAAAAAACAAAATGAAATAAAAAAATTAGAAATACATTTTTCATGGTAAGATCTTGAAGAAGAGGGTGCTTGCATATAACGTCATCGACTTTTAATCCGCGATTGGTTACATCACATAATTGGGGGTTTTGGTGAGTAGGCTACAGTAAGGTTCTCAGATGAGCACAGGGCTTAAGCTCACGTTGCTTGCCAGGCAGCGGGATACGTATAATATAAATATTTTCCCGGAACTGATTAAATAAATCATATATCATTAAATTGTAATTTCTTTAAACGACATATTCCATCTTCAGCCTATTTAATAATCGTGGAATTATTATACTACACTAACGGTTGCAGAGGTTTTTATAAGCAATTTATTTTGGTTGTTAAATGAATGAATAGAATAACTACTTTTTAGGCTACGATAAGCCAGAATTTACTCTCGATAAGCAAAGAGTAAAGTTAGTTTTAGTAACAAAGCAATCATGCAAACAACATCATCTAAATTCATTTTACCTACTCAGTTTGTTGCCGTTCGGCTCATCGTCGGCCAGGTGTAGTTCTCGAAAGTCGATCTTCCACAGTAGAGAGTCCAACTCCTGCTCGTAACGCCAACCACGGTACAATGCGAGTGCAGCCAGAGCTAAGAGGACTAAAGTGGCTCCTGATGCTCCTAGCGCCCAGGCACCTATGTGACCTAAGGAAATGGTTTCATCATCTTTGAGCCTACTAATGTTCCGTTGCTGGTATACATCCATTTCTATGGAACAGAACTCGCACAGGGAGAACGTTATAAACCACTATGCGGGCTTAATACGAATTGCTGGGTGTTAACGGCAAATATTTCAGAAACTATCAAAGAGTTTGAGGTACCATTTCTTTTTCACTCATTTTATGGCTTATATTTTTTGAAAGATGTTTATAATCCGCTTTAGTAGACTAAACGCATTTCTATGTTCTGTGACGAAACGTACTAACCACTGTGTCATCGAGGCTTTTAACAAATGCACGATTAGATACATTTTGATATATAAAATGAGTACTTAGGACATAGGTATACATATAAAGGTATATAGGTAGGTGTAATTTACAGCACTTGAACCTGTAATTGTACGTATTGTACATTATATAAAAAAACATTTCTGTCGTTTTGTTTGCATATCAAATACCATGAAAAATTTTTTTTGTCTCTTATACTGATATAATAAAATAAAATTTTACTAATTAGGTAAGTAAAAATTACTCATTGAGTACATATTTTTAAATTAACCAAAATGAGAACATAAAGCACTAGAATCCACCGTTGACTGGATAAAAAAAATCATTTAACTTGTCGCCGCCGCAGAAATATTTGATAGGATTTTATTTTGACAGCGGAAACTTGGGGAGATGGGCGAAGGTTGATACCTTTTAAACGTTTATATTCAATTTGTTACAGCGAGCAGATTCTTCCCCACGAGCGGAATGATATGAAGAGGATTTGAGGACGAGCCTTTCTTAAATTAATAACTCAAGTGGAATGGTCTCTTGGGAAATTTTGTTTTTTATCATACCTTCAATATTTTATGGAATACAATGGGAAAAACAGATATTGATAAGATCAATCTTGTGTCTGTTTGTTCGTATATAAGGTATAATATTATGGACTTCGTGTAGTGGATTAGTAAGAATACTGTTTCATACTGTCAACGATTGTAGATTATCCTATTGTTTACGATTACAATTTTGTATGAGACAGCTGATTATTTTTTTATGAATTCAGTGTTTCTCCCATAGTAAAAGTTGTTCAGTATACTTAACTAATTCACCCCACGAAGTTATGGCATATAATAATATAAGACCTTATAGGTATATCTAAATATATAAAAGGCAAAGTTGACTGATTTATTAAAGCACTAGTTAAACTACTGAATGGGTCGAGTAGTAAAGCAGTAATAGATTTTATGGTGTAGAAGCCTTTACATCATAAAATCTATTAGTGCTTTATTAGCGAGCCCACTAAGAATGGATTTTGAAAAAATCTACATTTATAGGAGTTACAGGGATGAGGACCGCCGTAGGCTAGAAAATGTTTTTTTTTTTTTAAAGTCTCTGGCCTGCTATTGTGTTACCTTTGTTGTTTCAAATTGGCCAAAATAAAACTGTTTCAGCCACTTAATTTGGGATCTGAGCAATTTTTCATTAAGAATATGTTACATTGTCTAATATTTATTTATATAAAAAATAATAGAGTTCGAAAATATGAGCGAAGCCGTTGGTGGTAAATTAGATCTATTACCTATATACTAGAAAAAGGCTTGGTAAGAGAGGCCAAATTTTATATTTTTTATAATTTTAATACAGATAGATAGCTTTGAATATTAACGTAACAATAACAACGTGTCATAAGTTTAATATTAGAATAATAAACAGTAATATCTAAAATAAAATAAAGATTTTTATCATTTTTGCGGAAAATACATTTTATTTACCTATATTTATTTGTCCTAACTGATTTAAATTTTATTAGTTAACACAATTAGGAGACACGCGTTAATTAAGTTGTGCCCAATGTAAGTAGGCCATGTTTATCTACATAATTGGTTGAACTCTTATAATATAAGGTGTGACTAAGTCTTGTCTCGTAATATATATTTGTGTTGCAACTCTCGCTTGAAATTGATAGATATGACGATTAATATAGATAAAACGATCCATTTCTTGTCAAATGTATTTTATATTCCCTATCTACAAAGAGATTTTTTACTTAGTATATTTGATCAATTTTGCATTCTTTATAATATACTGATAAATATGCATCTTTAATAAAAGATGCTTGAAAAAGACCACCAGCCCTATTTTTACGCCAAGATGGATCTTAAAGAATTATTTTACAGTCTCTGTTTTATGTTTTTAAACGAAAACATGCAAATAAAAAATTAAAACAAGAACTTGATCCTCAGAAAAAATGAGAAATATCGATTGTAAACCGTGAATAAATTTCAATTTTGGGTAAATGTATAAAAGGAGAGAGAAGATAGTTATGCATATTAAGCACACATACAAATAACTATATATTTATATCACATAAAATACATTAAAAATGGTAAGTTGAAATTCACGTGATTTTGGTGTTACTTATTTTTTTTTTAATTTTGAACAAAAAAAAAATTTAAATTCTTTTTGTGAAAAATCATGTTATTAATTCTGTTTTAATCTTATTCTCTCTTTGTGTATACAACGATTCTTTGTTCTATGGAAACAAATAGTAGATTGTTTGATTGAGACAAGGCAAACGTCTGGGAATTTGAAAGCTTCTCAAATTAGAGGTGTTTAGGTCTCAGATTATATAATATCGTTTATGTATTGAGCAGAGTTTTGTTGATAATTGAAAGTTGGGATTATCTTCTACTTATTGTCCATATATTTTGCACTTCTGTAGAAATAGCTGCGTTCTGTATAGGGTGTTTAATGAAGTAAACATATTAATGTGTCAAATACGATAAAATTAAGGGTAATTGAACTGTGATATATTTATTTTTTAATATAGTTAAGACCACTCGTTGCTTTTCGATGTACTTACGCTTATTACTATGAATATGTAATTAGCAAATAAAAGTTATTTAATATAATGATATTATTTATAGATATAATAATATTAATATATACTGAAATTCTACATAATGGTAAACAATTGTAATTGAATATAGTTCGCAACGGGTATCAATGCCAATAACCGCCGGTCGCTCCGTGGGACGTTGTCAGTGTTTCCAGATAACAATCATTGATTTACCCGGTCAATAATATCAAAAATATCTACTCAATTTTCCCCGCTAGCTACTACAAATATATTTTTCCTAATTAATATTAATGATATCAAAAAAAAAAAATTAAGAGTTTCATTAAAAAAATATGGAATACAGAGTAATATTTCCTCTCATTATGTTTACATTCAGTCTTTTCTATTTCGTTGTATTGCCCAATACCTATACCAAGTATAAAAATAATTGTTATTTATGTTGTTAGTGTTTAATAGTTTATTACCTGCCCATGCACGAAAAAGAGCTGATGATAAAGTTGCTTAGCATTTTTAAAGTATTTGTATATTTAATGATTTTACTTCAAAAAACTTTACCAGTTTTGATAGCAGTGGGTCCCATTTTTTATTTGCCCCAGGGCCCTAGGTTACCAAGCTACGCCACTGCATTCAGTACATGAATTATATGACTATTATTAAAAAACCCGTCGACAAAGAAAATAAACACAGTTAGGAGGTACCTACCCGATTTTCAGGCATTATACCTGCTAACTGGAAGCACTTCGCCTTCGCTATCGAACTTAGGTACAGTTAACAGCAGGTCAGATTAAACAAATCTGTCAAATTCCTCTAATTCTTAATGTATTGAGAGTAGAGTTTAAAATCAACTGGAGAAATTTGACATATCGTAGTAACCTACCGTGCAGCCGTACTGTACTTACATACTTTGAAATAATATTATATCTGTGCTATGAATATCTAGAATATATGTACTGCGATGTTGCTTTTGTTTTTGTTTTGAGTTCTTCATACAAAGACAAAAGTGTGTGTTTTGTTTTACGTCAAACTTAACATTTTATTGTAGATTTCTTTCATGTATTAAATATATCTTATATTTCAGAAGGGAAGGCTCGAAGGGATTGAGTTGTATTATTATAGAAAATTATACATCGATGTGTTTTAGAAGAAAATAATGCATGTTACAGAAGAAACTTATATTCATTTCAGTTATTGGTGTAAATCTGATTAAAACAAAGTTTCGTATACTAAGATATTACTTGAAAACGGAATCATTTTAGGGGCACTCGGTAGTTTTTCTACTGAGTGCTCCTAAAAAGGTCGATCTGTGTGTCTATATGTCCGTTCGCCTGTTACAGCAAATTTTATCAGATATTACAGGCCATAATGCAATTTAAATAAATGTATGTTAAACGACGATAAATTGGAAATTTTTAAAGCAGTTTGGCAAATTAGTGATAGTGCGTGATAATTTCAAATTTCTATATTTTCCATTATAAAGCTATTTATCTTTAAATACTTATAAAGTTATTGTTACTGCATTGCGCCTAAAACTTAAAAAAAAAGCTACAGCAAATAGTTTTTACCTAAACATTACCGAAAAACTTATTAGAAATATTTAGTTATAAAAATATATTTATGTTTTATACTAATATTACAAAGAAGAAATATCTGATTGTTTGTTTATGTAAGGTAAATATTGGTGATAGTGAATAAACATACAAAGTGAATACGAAGTTCATTCAAAATAACAATAAAAACGAATAAAAAAAATTAATAGTACCCACAAAACAGAGTTTTGGTATCTTGGCAAAGTCTGTTTTTGTACCCGACTTGACTTTTAATCAACTCTCTGCAGATTAGGTATTTGGTTTATATGCTTAAACGGTAGATAGTCGCCATGAGCAGAGTTTTGAAATAAATGGACCATTTAATCCCCATCTATACATATATAAAAGATGTCCTGGCATACTGACTGTCAGACAACGCACAGCCTAAACCGCAGGTTGTAGAGACTTGAAATTTGAAGTGTAAAACTCTACATCGCGGACGAATTTCAGGCAAAAGCTAGTAAGATTGTATAAGTCAACAAGCATTTTGTATTAGGATCACTTTTCTTACATAGCTAAGAATATATACACTTAAAATGTTTTTTTATGTAATGTAGAGAATATGTTAAGTAATTCGTTCATTATACGAATAAGTCAAAATCAAAAATTAATAACTATGCATCATTTTAAAATCAAAATAAATAGATTCATCCAACATGAAATTATAAAATTATCTCTATAGCAAACAAATAGTAAGTTGTCTTTAATATTTCCCATTTTGCGATGTCGTCTCGTAGATAGTAGAGTAGATGCATTTTTTGGAGGTTCATATAATAATTTTTTACTCTTTATTTGGCGCAAGATACCATCATTTGTTGAACTTGTCTTTTTTTTATTTTGTGCGCAACGAAGGCGCATCGTTAATATATTTTTTACGTGTGGTTTAGTCCCTACATGAATGGCCATCAGCTTGAGGTCTAATTCGGTTTCTTACAATATATATAATTATTTATGAGCTTTCAGTCCATCATTATAACCAGACTATTGTATGCTGCTGGAGCATAGGCATTTACTATAAATGGAATATAATCGAATAGGGAGAACGAGTCCTAATCTACCTCGTGAATCCAGTACGGGTTGGTGGGTGTTAACAAGTGCAGTTTCAGTCCGGACCAATGACTTAACGTGCCTTCCGAAACTGGAGGCTTCTGTAACTGATCTCTGTGAGTACTTAGTCTCTGTATCGGAACAAAAGTACTAGTCTCTGCGCAATCGAGTTCCTCTTGAATTTTTAAATTGCTTTTGTCCTGTGTTATATAGTATTGTATCGTCACTTTTGGTTTTATAATTTACCTATATATTATGTAGTATAGTAAGTTAGTAATTTAAATCATTTATTAATCTCTTTTCCCTATGCAAACTAAAATAGTGGATTTTAACCCTAACTTAGTAATAATTATGTTATTGCTTAAAATAATTTGACGTAGACTTTAATGTATGTGACATGACATAGAGGCAAAATTTTAGAGCATGTCGTATTCAGCATTTGTTACTAATATTTTTCTTGTATCATATTACAAACTAAACAAAAAATCTTGTTATGAAAAATTCAATGAACATAAATTAATACAATATTTTATCAATTTTGCAATCACGATGCTAAACTGGAATATCTTCTTAATGAAAAATGCTTAAAAATCCACCAGTGTGCAGCTTAAATTTTGAAAAATTCTTGTCATGTAATTTCAATTAAAATATTTCACTTACTGGCGCATTTTTCGCCGTGGAAACCGCATGGTGGCTCTGATAGCGGCACTCTCCCTCCTGGCCATTTCAATTCTCGCAGGAATCTCACCTCCTGTGGGACAATTAAAAGGCTTTTGCAATGGACAAATGTCAAACATTCATTACATGTTTCTAGCGCTATAAACGTAGGGAAGCTACGAAAGATAGAATAATTTCAAAATAAATGATTTTTTTCGTAGAAATTTTTTGATAATGTTTGAAGAGAGTGCACCTATGTATATGTTACGGCCAAAGGTGGGAGTGAACATAAACTTAAGATTAACTTAGGTTTATCTTCAAGAAGCAGCTAAATTTCGATATCATGTTAATTTGCGTCGTGATATTCCATCTTAAACCGGTTAATGTGCACATTTCGGTTAGAAACAAAACGGCTAAAAATGTATTCGATGGACGCGGACCGGCGGAGGGCTTGACCCGACCTTGTTTTAAGTAATTAACACTGAAGAAGTTTTATTTTGTAATTTTAAATACCTACAGAAGTATCTGTTATGAAGGAATGGTTCCTTATTATTTTATTTTAATGATTAGGTAGATAATTTTTAAGTAATTAATATTTTGTAATTGTAATTTTGAATACCTACATAGGCACATAAAAGTATATATGTTTTTAAATCTGTAGCATAATATAACGTTTTAGTGCGAACAAATAAAACCTTGTTTTAAAAAAACTTTTTTATTATATTTTTATTTTTAATAAATAGAAATATGTCATCATAGTGAACGTTTTAGGAAAGGAGATTTTGTTTATTTGCTCGACATATTTTTTTCCAATAATCTATAGGTATTCATATAAAAAGGAAAGATTTGATTGCTTATTTCACCTACAATTCATTTCGATGGTCTATGCTTGATATTTAAGACGATATTGAAGCTTTCGTAAGTGACCCGGAACTCTTGCTCGTCGGTTTATAAGGAACACCAAGCTTTTACCAATAATTTAAACCTTATAAACGTTTATAAAGGATGCGAAATGGCATCTTACATTTATATACCTACGCAATTTGGCACAGAAATGCATCTGAGAAGCCAAAATGTGACGTAATACACTTTGCCTAAAACAGTAAAGCGCAGCAAGCAATTCGGGTCGTAGAGAAGAGAGATTTACCATGCGTGCGTACGTGATCCGAATTATTACATATCAAATTAAATGGTTTGATCTTATAAATATTAACCAACTTGTAATTGGAAAATTGTTTTGTAAATATTAGAAATATGTAAATATATTCAATGGCGGATTAAAGGTCATCTCATGATAGACGGCAAAGAGTAGTAGGTATAATATATAGATAGAAGGGATCTCTCGGCTCATTTTCATGTGATTACACTACCAAAAAAAAATTTGTGTACTTTTTGTAAAATTTCTTTTGCTTTTGCTTTTCCTTTAGCCTTTTAACCTATTTTTGAAAAAGCAAACATTAATTAAAATAACGGAAACGCATGTGGTACCTATACTCACTTACTTACAGACTAGTGCTTAGGGTGTTGTAGCAGGAATATATGGGTAATGACTAATTTTTGTTAGTCTTTCAGGTATATTTATGAAGAATATTCAATATGTACTTTTTTTTGCGTTATCAATAAATAACGCCGATACATTGAGTTGAAATGTCGCATGACGTCACGCTTTTGTACATTTATTTTATTATTATTATTTCATCTACAAAACTGTGACGTAGCAAGCCCCCACTTTTCTATTAATGCCTATTATGTAGGCATTAGACTTGAGGAGTGGGGGCGTTTTTGGTTATATTGAAACAAAAAAATAATCATCTTATCTAATGTAAGTCGCAAATCAAGTTTTTTACTTCCCCTACGAATTAACATGACACTTGAACGTCTATTGTTTCACCGTAAATGAATTTTTGTATACTTCGTAATGCTATTACGACTCCGAGAAAAGCTCGTTTCTCTATAATTTTTGATGCAATGGAGGCCGGACTTGATACTACCTCTGATGCACAAATAATCTTCACGGCTATGATTTTAACAACATTATAAAAACGAATCGAAATTTTCCGAATTCTCGTTCGATCTGGTGTCGTGTTAATTCATACGTGTTGTACGTCTTATGTCGCGACTCTTTGTAACGTGTACCCATATATTATATCGTGTATTGTACACATGCCTAGGTAAATTATTATAAGACATATCAAGACATAAACCGAAATAACAAACGGATGAGAAAAAAACCTGCTTTGCTATTCTGTAACGATACAACGTCGAATGCAGCGATGTCACAGCGTTAAATATTAAATAAATAAACTTCAAGAGGAAATAAAAAGTCGACGCTGCATTTTAACAGGTGTGCATATAGGTGCAAAACTTCCCGCTACTTCCCAAGCGCCACTGAGAAAAGTTGAAACTATTTCAGAAAGCATGACGAAGCAGAGCATTAAGGGAAGAAAATAAGATGGGAAGCAACTCAATATAAGAAAACACCCCAAATAATTAACAGACAGGAGATGGACTGGCTAAATCGATCAAAATTGTATTTTACTGTTATCCAAGAGATGGCAAACGCGTCAGAAGACGCTCTTTAGATCATTCTAAATTAAATTAGAGGTACAAGTTTGTTGAACTGATTAATGGCGTTCATGTCAAGGACTTTATAGGGATTTGGAATTTCTCAAAGTAACTATACATAGCAGTGGAAGTAAATTTGAAATTGTTTGGTTGTTTACGTTGTTGAGGCGATCTAGTAGACAAAATTGAAGCGATTTCCGAAAATGATGTACACACCGTGATTCCGTGTTTAGAAAATTGTAAACTGATAATGGTTATGGTACATTTTCTACCGTAACACATATTATGTGAGAAGGGTGAATACAAAATTTACAATTGCGTATCAAAATATAGCTCTCAAAAATAAAATATGTAGACTGTTCCAGTCAATTAAATTTAGTTACCTACGTTATAGCATACTTACAGGGGAAGGTTTGCGTAAAAATCGTTTCCATTTCGAATCGCTCAAGGTATCGAATTAAATAAAACAGATATCGATTTTTATATTCTTATGCTATTGTTGTAAACTTCAATTAAATTCTAATGGAAATGTTAAAGATTTTGTAATCGGACTTGATAAAGTGTGTCAGAAAGAATCTTGTCAGGAGAATCTACCCCATATCAATTTGGTGATATCACTACATAGTATAAAACAAAGTCGCTTTCTCTGTCCCTTTATCCCTTTGGTTGCTTAAATCTTTAAAACTACGCAACGGATTACTATGCAGTTTTTTTTTCATAAATAGGGTGATCCAAAAGTAAGGTTTTTATGTATAATATTAGACACACGGGCGAAGCCGCTGACGGAACGCTAGTTCTAAATAAGATTTGCATGAAAGGCGCGAAAATCTTATGAATATGCATGCAGCGACGGATGAATGTTCTTGAGAATGGAAGAAGTGAATTGTTGTTGTGCTAAGATCCAAAAGGCCTACTCTGTTTGTCCTAAAATGAAAATTAGTCTAATTATGTTACGCTAACGCTAAAAGAAACCCATTTTTAGGGTTTCGTAGTAAACAAGGAAACCCTTATAGTTTCGTCATGTCAGTCCTTTCGTCCGCAGTTTAGCTCAAAAACTATTGTTAATTACGCCGACGAAATGGAGAAAAATATTTTTTTTAGCTTACCTCCTCCACGTGTAAAGTGGGGATGATATTTTTTTCGTCTTCTCCATAGTGTGGAGCATCGTTGGATAGATCTTTCAAAAACATTGGGGGTGTTGAAATGCCGTTGGACTTATTAAGCTTTAAAGAGCTTATTTTCATTAAAGTGGCCCTTTCCTCTACCAACTAAACGGTCGCTGGTAAAAATTCAAACCTAGTACCTATATATAACGAAATTAAAAGGAAAACTATCACACTTAAGCTGGCTTTAGAAGTTTATGCCTAATAGTCGACAAATTGTATTTATCTCGAAAATTTCGAACAACTCATTAGAAAAGAAAGAATAAAATAGAAAATAACAAACGTGATTTTACTTTTTTAATGGATAATGGCACGGAACCCTTTGTGCACGAGTTCAACTTGCACTTGGCATTTTTTCGATAAGGTATGGTGCAACGGAGGTAGGACATGAGCATGAGATTGCTTCTGATGCACAGAAAATCTTCACCGATATGATTTTACTTGAATTATAAGAATGATTTGATTTTTTTATTCGTAGACAAGCAGAATATGCCGTCATATTTTCTCATTAGAGTAGATGATCCAAGCACAAGTGTATCAGCATTTTTACTAACCGGAGTGGACTTGTGTAGCACAGCGACTGGGTAGACGCCGGCTGGGCGTGTTGGGTCTATTGCCAGCAGAGTGTAATTGCCTTCTGCATCACCATTCTCATCCATGTGCACCCAATAACTGTGGAAAGATAAAAGCTGTAGATATTTCTTGTAATGACTTACTACAATGAAGGTGATTACCGTTGCTTTTAATGTATGATATACATTTGATTGTGATATTCATACATATACCAATATCAAAAACTTTAAATTAGTGAATATTATTAAAATAATTTTGTTAAAAATATAACTGTGGCATTTAAACTGTTACGTTTTAATAGATATGTATTTTTTATGTGTATCTGTGGTTATTATAAGTAGCTTATAAGCTACCTTTGCCTTATAAAAATAAATATATAAATTTTGTATTGATGCTGATAGATATATGTATAATCAATAGCATTTTTATGTACCCCATAACACTGCGGTAAGTGGTGTTTCTCATATAAGTAGCTAAAGCTCTTCCATCCCGAGGACTGTATCCTAAAGACAGCGCAGCGACCAGCGCCCGCGCATACACCCAAACTGCGTCGTGTAACCATGCAGCTTCAACGGGAATCTAAATAGAATATAGCTAAATTTTATGGAATATTATAAATTATTTACCTTTATATAAATAAATAAAAAATTACTTCAATGTTTATACTGGATCTTTATCCGCGTCTTCTTTATGTAATATCAGAGGATATTATTGGTATTTTAGAAGTCTATCATATAATTCCCCAATTAAGCTTCCCCAGATTTCATAGAACCTCTACACCATATTTCATATAAATCGGTTTAGCAGTTCAAGGATGGAAACGAAAAAGATAGACAGAGTTCTTTCGCATTTATATTATTAGTAAGGATGGATGATAACGTCTACTTGATGATGGCGTCTACTTTGATTATCATCGTTGCCCCAAGAGATATTGTAACATGTATAATAACTGAAGTTCACTTCTTACCACTTTACCGCCGCCCAAAGCAAGCAACGGGTTTGTGAAGTTAAATGGTGGCATCTGCAATCTCCTATTGACTTCCATGGCGAAGGCCGGGTACGACGGTGAGGGAGAAGGCGCTACGGCAAGATATGACCTAAATGCTTTCAGAGCCCTGGCCTCGGGTGCTTTCCGTAGAGGTCCAGCGAGGTAACGCACTGCCTCATCGGGCTCATATTTCTCAACGTCAACGCCAATGGCTGCATATTCCCCTAAGAAAATATTGAAAATCTTGTTTATAAATTTCATATATTTAAGTACGTTTTATATTTTAAATTTTATATCTAACATTTATTATTGTAATATGTGATAAACGACCTGTAGGTGTATCGACCAAATTAGTGAAACAGTCTCCAAAAACTAAATTTCGTATTTTACTTTGGAGTCGTAAGAGTCGAAGTCTCCAAAGAGGCGGATTTTCTGATAATTTATGATGCAACCGAGATAGGACCTGACGCTGACTCTGATGTACAGATAATCTTCACTTCACACTTCATCATATGATTTTAAAAATATTAAAAGAATGAATCAAATATTCCGAATTTTGTTTCGAGTACAAATATTGGTAGTGTGAGTAGCTTGGTGATGTAGTGGATAGAATAGGCTCCGCGGCCTACGATGTTGTTGTTGAACAACATTCGCAAAGGACTGGATGGCCGAAAAATTATAACCTCGAGCTACCGTGCTTCATAAGGCACGTTAAGCCGTTGCACAGTGGAAAATGGTAGAACAAGAGCATATCAAAAGTACTTTTTACGAATATCATAATTTGTTTGATTTGGTGATTTTATTAGGATCTCAAATAATCGAATTATAATATTCATTAAGTTTTTTTATCGAAAATGCACGAAGTTACATTTTTTTCATAGGTAGAAGTACATAGAAGACGGGAGTGCCGAACTCGAGTCTACGCATATACATGTTTCAAAACCATATTGTGCAATATATATTGGGTACATATATGCAGTATTATACATTTTTGGAAAGGTTGTTTCATGCTTATTACGTTACAGCTTCTTAATTTCTAAAGCAGCGACAATTATGTCAGTAAGTAATTAAAAAGTGGCATACCTTATTTTTTACTTTTCTTTTTTTTCGTCTAAGGTTTTCAATATTACCCACGACTCCCCACGCGCAACTTTTTATGTTAATTGATAGTCTAACTATTCAGGAACAGAATACAAAAAAAAATAGCTGCGGAAGTTTGCGGTTTTAGAAAATATAAGAAATAATGTGTGAAAAGTCGGGAAAAAAAAATCAGTATCTTTTGCGGTTTACCACAGACACCGTTCACAAGGACAATAATTATATTACTTTTGGAATATTTTATTTATTTAGCGATAACAAAGGAATCTTATCAAATTTGCACTCGTTATGCGTGAGAAATTACTAGATAATAATTATGTGGGTACCAATTTGATATTGGAAACAATTTGATATGGCAATACCGTACGAAGTTTTTTTTTTTTAATTACACTTGCTCAGCGGAAATTACGGGTGTAGACGAAACATTCAATCAACATCGAAAATGCACGAAGTTACATTTTTTTCATAGGTAGAAGTACATAGAAGACGGGAGTGTCGAACTCGAGTCTACGCATATACATGTTTGAAAACCATATTGTGCAATATATATTGGGTACATATATGCAGTATTATACATTTTTGGAAAGGTTGTTTCATGCTTATTACGTTACAGCTTTTTAATTTCTAAAGCAGCGACAATTATGTCAGTAAGTAATTAAAAAGTGGCATACCTTATTTTTTACTTTTTTTTTTTCGTCTAAGGTTTTCAATATTACCCACGACTCCCCACGCACAACTTTTTATGTTAATTGATAGTCTAACTATTCAGTAACAGAATACAAAAAAAAACAGCTGCGGAAGTTTGCGGTTTTAGAAAATATAAGAAATAATATGTGAAAAGTCGGAAAATAAAAATCAGTATCTTTTGCGGTTTACCACAGACACCGTTTACAAGGACAATAATTATATTACTTTTGGAATATTTTATTTATTTAGCGATAACAAAGGAATCTTATCAAATTTGCACTCGTTATGCGTGAGAAATTACTAGATAATTAGATAATCCTATTGGACAGCTGTCGGAAGACGCACAAGAGTCTCGCAACAAAGACTACAGAAACATGCGACTTCATCATGCCAAAAAATGTTCCCGGTCTACAACAAATGAAGATGTCTTTAAAATGCTTTTGTGCACGTCAGATCCATATATAACAAGTTTAAGAAAACCATACTTAAGAAATGTAAAAAATCTTGAAGAAGAGGCAATAAGTCTTTTAAAAGTGGTACCTGAAAGTGAACGCACGTTTACTGACCCTGATCCTGAAGCAATATAGGTACCTACCAAAATAAAAATAATATTGATATTTAGTTATTAGTAATGTTTGTAACGAGTTATATCAATCTCTGAAGCTACAGGACCTAGTATAGTTTGTTTGTTCAGCAAAAAAAATATTTTTTTTTTTTTATTAATTGGGTAATTTTGTATTTAACCATAGTTTTAACCTTTTTGGTCATTAAAACTTGTCTTTCTTTTGGAATTATTTTTTTTACCATTTTATTTTTGTGTTTACCCATTTTTTTTTACTTCTATGACATATAACATATATATGTATATAGAAAAACACTACAAATTATACATCATTTGAATTTCCAAACTTCACTGAATATTTGTAGCAAATTTCATTGCGGTACTACAAAAAATCATGAAGTTATACATTTTTGATCCGATAACGACCGATTCTGCCCACCGTGCGTTGGTCCTAACTACATTTGTAGTTCCTACTCTTCAATCCGCATTGGGCCCGCGTGATGGATCATGGCCCATTTTCCTATTCAATTTGATTCGATTCTATCCATTTTAAAGGCCTGAGCCTCATTATAGGTGGAATATTAATAAGCTGGTGATGATGGTGTCAAATAGAATAGGCTCTCGGGCGTCATTGTTAATTTGTGTAGTAATAACATGGTTTCAGACATCTTCTTCTTGTAGATTAAAAACCTCTTTGTTAGAAACTAAGAATACCTCTTCTTAGTTTCTAACAAACTTCCACCTTTTGAAACCGAGTCAACTCAAGATGAAACAGCAGTACTAACAGCGATTTAGACAAAATGGAAATACCAATTCGAAGCAATTCCAAACTTGTATTATGTAGTTAACGTGTGGGAAAATCTTAACTGACTTTAAATGAAATAAGTTTTGGAAGCCGCAACTATTCGTATACTTGAGGTTGATTTACTTACCTACTCCAGGCTGATTTACTTTTATCTATCCTGTCATATACTTAAGTGACCATAAATGATGTTAGAATTAAAAATAAACAAAATATTACTTTTGAATTTCGAAACTGAGATGTTTATATGATTGTTAATTGTTTTTTTTATTGTTACGCCAATACATTATAAAATATTTTGTGATATTAAAATGGAGTGGTGTGACAAAAAGAACCATCGCTGCGATTTCATTATATAAAGCAGATATGGAGCCAAACACAATTTTCAAAACCCTTCTTACGTTTGGTATTAGTCAAATGTTTGTGTACCGGGCTATTGATAGGTACAATGAAACCTCCTTTGCTTATGACAGAAAAAGATCTGGTAATCCACGTGTTCGTACGAAAAAGGCGAACAAAGCAGTAAGGGAAAGAATTCGAAGAAATCCTGTCCAAAAAGAAAAGATTTTATCTCGAGAGATGAAGAAAGCACCTAGAACCATATTGCGTATTTTAAAAGATGACTTAGGACTTGCAGCCTATAAGAGACACACTGATTACTTCTTTTCAGATAAAAGAATAGGGTGGTTAAATCTAAAGAACTACAAAGGGAGGTCACAGAACGATGTTGTTTCCGGATGAGATTTTTTTACAAACAAAATGACTGTATTTATGCTCAAAGCTCCAAAGAAGCTTCACGATTAGTCAACAGAGTACAACGTGGACATTATCCGACTTCAGTGATGGTTTGGTGGGGTGTCAGCTAGACAGGAATGACTGAGCAATATCTTTGTGACAAAGGTATCAAAACACCGACACGAGTGTATCAAGATACCACTCTCGAGAAGGTAGTTAAGTCCCTAAATAACACCATGTTTAATAACCAAGAAAGGTCATTTCATCAAGACTTGGCGTCAGGTCATAAAGTTTGAACCAATCTTGGTTAAAAACGAACGTTCCGGACTTCATCAGAGCTCAAGACTGGCCGTCATCTGGTCCAGATCTTAATTCGTCGCTCTAACTCCATGATAATTTAGAGTCCCTAAGACAATCCATATGGTTGGCAGTTAAGATTTTTTTTATGGAAAGAGTGCGTGCGTCTATTGATAAATAATTGGCCTCAACATTTAAAAGACTGTAATGCAGGTAATGGACACCGCTTCGAATAAATTATATATATTTATAATGGCTTTATAATATATTAATCTATTAAACTAACACACTCTAATAGTAATGAATGTTGATTTTATATATAACAATATTTATGGCAAGATTATCTATGTATAATAATGTCTTTTCGTTTAGATATGTCACATTAATATATTTAGCAAAACTTTTTTACCCCCAAAATAGATCGCCATGTTACATTACATACGTTAAACAGCCGTCGGATCACGACACCAACTAACATGTGTACCAAATTATTATCGGACGGCTTTGACATGCTGTGTAGTGATTTTTATGTATGTAGTTTACATGATTACTTGGTGGTTCTTTTATCCTAAGGGAACCATTTAAGGGGCTAAAAAGGAGCCTATATGTTAAATCTTATAGTCTGATATTTAGCAACTGTGAAGTGTATAGGTAAACCTTTAACTGGTAATGAAATATTGTAAGGATATGAAGTAAATCTAGGTTATTTAATCTTAGAAACTCGTGTGGTATTTTTAACTAAACTGTAGAAATGAAATTATACTTTTATTATGATTGAGGAGTATATCTAACTTTAAAAACAAAAGAAAATATATTTATTCTCAGAAAAACTTAATTTACACAATTAATTTAAATTTCGATAAGACCCCAAAGTAATCGGATCTTTGTTTAGATTGTGACTACAGAGAAAAGTAGTATAATAAAAATAAATTGAATCTATTTCGAGAATAGAGTGCAAACTTCTCGCCAAATAATGGGGTGCTGTCCGACTACAAAGGGAGAGGATCTAGACAAATATATCAGTCACGGCTTATGGAAATTACGCACGTATGTCCTTTTATATTTAGTCGAAAGTGAATACAAACAATATTTACGAAAGTTTTAGACGGTAAATAAGTGGATTTTTCGTGGGGTATTCATATAAAAACAACATTAATTGTATTATTTTTGATATATCTGATGTGATGATATATGTCGTTCACATTGCAAAAGATTTATAATCTTCAAAAGAATGAATATATGTGGAAAGTAATAGGGATGATGACTAATTTTTGTTTGTTTGTCCGTTAGGTAGAGTGTTAAAAAATATTAAACACGTATTTTTTTATTTTTTTCGTAATCATTAAATTACGGCGTTACATGGAGTTGAAATTGACGTCACGTTAGAGTACGTTTTCTACCTAACTGTGACGTAGCGAGCCCCCACTCCTCAACTTTAATGCCTGTTATCTAAGCTATTTCTTGTTAAATTGAAGTAAAAAAAAATACGTATCTAATTTTTTCTATTATCTGACTGACGGATTAAATAGAATTGCATTTTATTTACCCAGTCATCATCCCTATTGCCTGCCGACTGACTAAAAATCATTCGTTAACGACTTTATAATAGTTGATGGTAGTTTTAAAATAAATTCATATTATAGGTGATTATTTACAAGATCTATGGAACTATTATTCGAATTGTAATATTCTTTTTTTTATGAATTAAAGATATTTTTGCATGTCTTTCATTTGATATACAACTGCAATTGAATTAAAATAAAAGTACCTATTTATATTAGATTTAAGTGAAAATCTGATTGAACTTAGTTTTTTTATTGACGAAAAACTATAAGATGATTTTATTATGTTAAAATGTTCTCTGCCATGTTAAATATTACTAATTACATTTATATGCTGTAACTATATTTATGCTTAAACTTCTAATTCATATGTTAAGAATGTTTAAATTTACGATGTTTGTATACCTAACCGTTGAGTTTCCATGATAAATTAAATATAAGTACTTTGACAAAATTGGGAAAGGAAATAAGTAACAAACTGTACCTATAGTCATGTAGTTTACTTAAATCCGAAAGAAATCGAAATTATTGTTGCTAATACTCAATATACAGTATGGAAATCGTAATATATTTCAGGCTGATATGAAAGTAAAACAAAAACAAGAACTTATCAACTGCTTGTCATACCGCGTATGTCGTAAAAGGGTCTGAGTGGGAATAGGATTTTACTAGAGATTTTATGTTGTATTTTTATGGATGTGATATCTTAAAATATATTTCATGCGTTGACTGACATGAAGAATTATTCACAATTGTACTGATTGTTCTTATTAATTCAAAATTGACAAATATAAAATAATGATAACAAATTTTCAATTTTATCGAAAGTTTCAATATTTGTACAAATATTTCTTTCGGCTGTTTGGATGGATTGTCTGAACATTGATGAAAATACGCTCTGTAATAGTGGAAAAGTAACAAGTGCTTGAAAATTCGCTGTAAGCTCAGTGGTTAAAGTCGCCCGGATTGCGAAAGTCATGGGTTCGTGACCCATCTTAGAGCGCCATTGTTCGTTTTCCGTACCTACGTAATACATACCTACCAATTACAAAAATAAGATTTTTTATTTTATTTTTATTACATGCAGGCGGTCTGCATGTAATAAAAATAAAAATCTTCACCAATTTGCATGACCGAATAAAGCGATAAAATCATGCTTTTTGCCTTGTTCCATAGCAATACCAGTTAAATGTTTTATTCACGAAGTGGGGGATAGGAAAATGAACAGTCCTCAAAAAGCCCGACTACCAGATAGATAATAAAATATTTGAACCAGGGGTTTATGCATAATTGTATTGAATCTGGTGAATACTCGCCATTGATGAATTTATTGATCTGTAGGTTTTCGACTACCAGAAGCTATATTATTGTTATTGATTATTATCAGCCTACTAATCTCCCTACTGCTGAGGTTTGGGCTTTTCTTATAGATGCAGTTAAATAAATACACTGGCTCTTTGTATTTTAAAAGTATTTTTAGTTTGTCGTTCAGATAGAGTGGTCTCTATTTTATAACAAGTTATTTGCCTTTTAATTTAGGTTTACTAAATATCTTCAATCGTCTGAACAAAACACTATTCACAATTGTTACACTCATATTTTTACCCGACTGAAAAGGCAGAGCTATGTTTTCGCGCGTATCTTTTAAGTATGTAATATTCTTTATTATCTTGTATCTTTAGTTCCGCTGTATGGATTTAGATATTTGAGGTATCGTTAGATTTGTCTTAGGAGCCCAAGTCTTCTTATATAGGTAACTTTAAAATAATCAAATATGGTGGCTGTTCGATGCCATTACATTTATGATAAAAACAATGTTTGTCTAAAATATTACAATATGGGTATCAAATTAAAGGGCTCAATACAAGGATTATCGATAATATAACGATATCATGATTATCGTTACCGTACTACTAAAAAATAATACAATGATAAAGTTTAAAAAATATGGACTTTGTTTTTTTCACAAAAAAAAAATAATTTGACTTATTATTCAAGTTCATGCCTCCGAGTGTATATTTTGAATGATGTTGTATAAATTTTTATCTTGTTCCAGCCCTTTCAGTTAACTGTTAAGGCTTATTAAAAAAAGACTTTTTATCACTTGTATAAAAAAGAAACGTTTCGATTTTCAATTGCAAACGAAATTTAATTTAATTTTATACGTACATTATTATATTCTATTTTACTGATTACAAGAAGCTCATAATTATTATTTCAATGACACAAATATATCGATTGTGAAATTCTGAAATCTTCCTGAACATAATAAAAGTAGGTATATTCTTACCAGAATCTAGTAACTGCATGGTGTCTAATGCTAACATCAGTCCTATATGATCATGGTAATATCCCACCGACACGTAAACTGAAACAAAACGATTTCGATAAATAAGTACGTATTTATTTGTTGTTAAGTTGCAAGAGCAAAGCTTTTATACCTAGAATTAGAATACCACGTAGGATTTACATTTGAAGTTGTGAATCCGTTGTGAATGGTAATTCGTTCTTGGGGGAACGATAAGAAAGTGGATTAATTTAAAACAATCTTGTTTTCGTACGAATGTTTTGAAGTCGTCTTATTGTTTTATAATATGCGGCAACATTTTCGCCATTTTGAAATATCTCGTAACATTTAATTTCGTTAACATTTTGAAAGCTCAAATTCAAATGAAATGCTTATTTACATTTCGTCAATAACATAGCTTCTTATAAACATTATTAAATTTTAAGTCGCGTATCCTTGTGTCTCTAAAAATATTACCATTGGAATCTTTTAAAGCTATCTTATTGTTTTTATGACATACTTTAAGCCATAATATGTGGCGACTTGCCAATATCGAATGTTAATTAATGTCAAGTTGGTATATCTTTTATAACTGGTACCCTTTTTGGTAGCTTTTATTCTACGCTGTAACTCTTGCGGGGTTTTTGTTAATATTTAAAAATTCAAATTCAATTAGGCAGGGGCGGATCCAGAACTCAATAAAGCTTATGGTCATAACGACCCAAAAACAAGTGAGTCGCAACATGAATTCTTACCCGAAATAATGCATCCCTGTAAAGATGTTTCCCAAAATGTACGTCGCAATAATCAAGATTTTTACATTATTCCACGTGGCCAATTGACAGTAGAACATAAAAATGTGACGTCACCATTCTATTAGGGTTGTGGGCATGCCCATCGTGTCTATAACGATGGATCCACCCTTGTAAATAGTTCACATAAATATCCCCAAGAACGTACATTCTTAGCATGCCTCTACAGTTTACTTACTTCTTGTGTCCTTGTAAGTGTCTCTTACGATGTCTAAGAACGGATTGCGACTGAAGTTCTCTTGTCTGTTCTCGTAGTAAAAGGGTTCTCGGTACTCGACTGCGGCCCGTATCGAGATGTACTGTTCTCGTGCCACAGCCATTATGGCGAGTGCGAGACGTGAAAAGTCATGGTTGGGAGCTTTTAAGTACACGACAGCAATCTGTAAGTAAATCTAATGCTATACAGATGTCTAGATTTGGTGAATAACGTTGAAAAATGTGATAAGCTAACATGATAATTGATTTTAAGTCATCCAAAACCACTTTTGTTACATTTACCAAAGTTTCTAATTGATGATTTAAATTTTACTTTTAGATTATTTAAGCAATTAGGAATTAATCGAATAGTTTTTGTGATAATAAACTTTTTGGTTGGATTTTTTGTTACTAGTTGTTTTCGCGATGGTAAATCGTAAATAAAGTAATAACAAGACTAACTAATAACTAGAATAACTAGATACCTCATAATATAAAAGCTCTGTGTAACACTTATAATCTAAAAGCTCTACCTACTGACAGTAGTATGGACTCCAACCGTTAGAAGTTAAACAGGATAAATATTAAAAAAATTACATGCATGAAGTTGAAGTGTTTGAGCACCGCGAGCACAGAACGGGATATGTCGATGTCGGACGGGCGCGTACGTGCAAATGTTGCGTAAACGCGCTTGTTAGAGCACGCCACGTCCCGACAGTACTGCGGACAATGTTATCGTTTAAAGTTGTCAAGTAACTTTCGCAAAGGTCGGTCACGGGATGGGTGATAAAAAAAATATCTCGGGCTATTCCGTGCTTCGGAAGGCATATGTTAATTCATTGATCCCAGCTGCATTTGTAGTTGTTAATATCCTCCAATCTTCGTCATGGCCCATTCTGCTTAACTATCCATAAGGAAGACCTGAACCTCTACAGTGGGGATGTCAAAAGGCTGATGATAATGATAATAATGATCATAAGTACATCTTTTAGACGATAAGTAGCTTGTGTCATGGAAATCTGAAACGACGAAGGTACCACAATAACATCCTGACCCTAAAAAAGGAGACATAAACTGTGCCTCGCTTTGTCCTGGGGTACCGCCGAGAGTGTAGAGGATAAAGAATAACGTTTTGAAGAAAATGTGTGAAAATAAAGAAGCACACCCGTCGCACTTATTAACTTGCCATTGCATTGTGTCTCTCATTTTTCTTTAATATAAATATAGAAACACTTGTCTGTTGAAACATCATCATCGCCTTTTAATGTCCCTGGGGCTGGGGCTCAAGGCATCCCAATGGATAGAATCGAATTATTCTATATAATAAGGAGAATGGACCCAGTACGTTTTGGTGGTATGCAGGTGCAGCCGGGACCAACGACTTAACGTGCCTCCCAAAGCACGTTGGAGCTCGAGATAATAGATTTTTGGTCACTTATCCTATAACCGTCCATTGCGAAAGTTGCTTAAAAATCGTATCGCAAACCGAGCGCACTAAACACTGCGCCATCGAGCTCCTGTAATGAATTTGAATGTTTTATTTTAATATAAATGACAGATAGGTTTTTAAAGTTCTTCTATCTTTATAAAACTCATAATATGCGAAAAAAATATAGTAGATTAAAATTAGATTTATATTTAGTTAAAAGATTGTGTGTAGCGATGCCACAGTCGGTGGGTAGTTATTATTCAAATAGTAAAACATGTCAGTTTTATTCAGAACATTTATATTTAAACAGAGTATCATTCACATCATTCTCAACTGACACGACATATGTATGTACCCTTCGTTACTTAAAAGAGTAATACTAGCTTTCAAATAGTTCTTTGTATGCTAATATAAGATTGATGCACTATGGAACAGTCTTCATGTTACAAACTCATTTAATATGCGAAACAAATAACAGGCTCTTGTATGCGCCAAACGAGAGGAGGATGGTTAGGGCTATCGATCAACTATTTTAAAATGATACGCTTTTATAGAAGTAAATGTTTACACGTTGTTGTAATCACAAGTTTAATTTTGAATTGGGCAATCAAATGAAATCATTTATTTACATGTGTAAGCATTAACAGTTGTTAAATAAATTAGAGATTAAATAGCAATGTATTCAGTCTGCAATACCTAGATGTGCAAAATTACATGTTTAAATAATTAACAATTAGCAACGTTAATTATATTCTTTATAGCGCCGATTCTACGATTCCCTTTTACGAAAAAATATCAATCAGATTACTTTTAAACTTATTTCATCTTATATCTTCAAGTTTTATTGAAAATCTTGATTCCTTTGCGCGGTGCAAATGTCAATATAAGCATACAAAAATGTTAGGTATTTTTCGTACTAAAAGTACTGGAAGACGACTGAAGAAATAAATTTGACTGAAGACAAACTGAACTGAACAAAACACTTACATAGCTAACCATAGGCAAGTTGAAGGCGGCAGCCATGCGTCCCTCATGCACGCATGTCTCTTGCGGTCCAATGAACGCCGACACATTTGTTGCCCATAACGTAGCCACCTGCGGACACATTTTATAAATTCAAAGACTATCATCAACCATTTAATATCTCCTTGGTATGGACATGTGATAAGAAAAGATTATTTGTATGTAACAGAATGAATCATGACCATAAGCATGAATGTAGAATGAAATGAAAGGAAAGGAAGACCAAAGAAAAGTCTATCCAGAATTGTGTGAAATAATATGTGTGTAAAGTTCATGTTTAGATGATCGAGTCAAATATAAGGAGAATACACATTGCACCGACCCCCAATAAGAAACTGGGAAAAAGGCAAGCAAATGAATGATATCAACAGTCTATTAATGTGGCCACTGTTGAGGATCTTTTCATGGATATGATTACGCAGGGAGAACGAGCTATAACCCACCAAGCGGGACAATTTAGGAGTGTAAATGACAGGTACAGCCTAGATCAACGGCTCGACTTGCCATCCAATATATTACGGTGCATGTTAGCACGCTGTAACATTGCGCATGGGTGGATGACCAAAATTTTATTATTTTGAGTTCCACCGTCACTCAGAAGTTTATTTATAACTAGACTGAATTTGAGTAGAAACAAACTCGTCTCCATACGCAGCACGTATTCAAGAGCATACCGCTTGAGTTAGTTGTTATTATCATTTCAATTCGTTCAACCGGATTCTCCACAGAGATTTTTGATACAGTATTGTAATGGCTAATAAACAAGCAGGTAAAAAGATTTAACTTGAAATGTTTTTCATAACACAAATAGTCAAATTAACATTCTATGGTCATTTTTTTTTGTCAAATGTATATGAAAAAATGTAAAATTTTTAAGAAATATAAAACGTAGGCAACTATAATCGTAAATACCTTAATATGGATCAATTTTGGGGTTTGAAACGATGACCAAATTCAAACTGTGTAACTAATAATAGCAGTGCCCTTAAAGTTTGGTAAAGTTTCGATAGCCATTCTATGAAGACGCCGAATTTTGGAGGAATATCCTTCAAAATTATTAATATCCTCACGTAAACTAAATATAGATAAAAGCGATAGATAGAGTAGGTGTCAATCAAGTATAATCAAATTTATGTTTATGAAATCATTCACCACGAAATATTAGACCGACTATCTTTTTGATCTATTCCTAAACAAATCGAACTCAAGATTTTAACTTTATAACAATTTCTCATTTTAGATGTCAGTTGCTAGTTTATGTTAGTAGCAAAGAGTAGGTACCGTATCCGCACTAAACTCTAAAGTGAAGATTTTACGGACCTCATTTTACGACTACTGTGATAAATTGCGATAGAGATTTAATAAAATACGAGGGTCAAACTGAAAGTTCTTAGAAAATCAAAAACTGATTACATTAGCCAGTTATTAGTTTTATTATATCTTTTCAAAATATTGTCCATTCACGTCAATACACCGCTGCATGCGATGGAACCACTGGGAAAAGCACTTTGCCCACTCGTCCTTAGGGGTCTCTTCAATGGCATCGCGATACGCAGCCACCGCTTCTTCAGCATTCATAAACCGCTTTCCTTTAAGTTTTTCTTTAATTTTTGGAAATAAATAAAAATCACAAGGCGCGAGGTCGGGGCTATACGGCGGGTGACCCAGTAATTCAACGTTTGATGTCGCCAAATAGTCGATCGTTCGCTTGGCGGTGTGCGACGAGGCGTTGTCGTGGTGAAGGAGGATCCTACTGCGAGGTCGTTTCTCTCGAACTTTTTCCAAGACAAGTGGCAAACAATTGGTAGTGTACCATTCTGCAGAAACTGTTTTTTGATCCTCTAACACAATTGTTGCAAAATGACCTATCCTTCCAAAGAACGAGGCCACCATTTTTTTTCCCGCACTTCGATCTCTCTTCACTTTAGTTGGCAACTCCTCGAAAGGAAACACCCACTGAGCAGATTGTCTTTTGGTTTTAGGATCATAACAGTAAATCCAGCTTTCGTCACCTATTAGTATGTCGAACACAGCATTTGAGTCACCTCCGTTAAATCTTTCAATCATTTTACGACACCAATCCACACGATGGAGTTTTTGAGCCTCAGTCAAATTATGAGGTATCCACCGGGCGCAAAGCTTCCTGACCGCTAAATGTTCGTGGAGGATTTTGTGCACTTGACTCATACCGATGCCTAAGCTTGTCCGAATCTGTTGATAGGTCACTCTTTTGTCAGTCTCTATCATACGCCGCACAACACAGATGTTATCTTCAGTCGTCGCCGTAGAAGGCCGTCCCTCACGTAAATCATCAGTGAGATTAGTGCGACCACGTTTAAACTCATTAAACCAGTTGTAAACAGTCGCACGAGATGGGGCTTCATCGTGAAAGGCCAATCGTAGTCTATCATAACTTTCTTGTTGACTTAAATGACATCGAAAGTCATAAAAAATCATTGCACGAAAATTTTCTCGTGTTAAATTCATGATGACGTGACACAGACAATTTTCAATTTGCCGCCAAATCGTAAAACAAATGACAAATGAATGAAATATATACTCAGTAATATTGGCAAAGAGTTATATTTTCAAATTTTAGAATTATATTTTTATTATATTGTTTATAAGTGGCCAGTTCTAAGAACTTTCAGTTTGACCCTCGTACAAGCCCAAGTCATTCGGTGCACGTCCTGAAGTTAACCCGTAAAGTTTGGTTTCTGTTTAGTAGTATGTTGTAAAAATTTAACCCTACAATTTCGAGATACGCATTTAAGTTATCTATAACCGGTAATTTGTATCAAGAACGGTTATTAGTGACAATTACTTTTTAATACTTTCCACTTGAAAGGAAATATGCGTTTTTTATTAGATTCGTATCATCAAATGGCTATTATGATTCTCGTTAAGTCCTATGCCTTGGCAGTAAACGTTGACCCCGTGTTGTTTCTTGTATAACTAAGCGGCTCAGCGTCGTCGTCTCGAGGAAATGAACTAACATTATTATCTGCTCGAACTTTCCAACGGACGTAGCAGAAAATTTTGCGTTGCAGCACTTTGTCGTTAACAGGCAGATAAATCAGCGGGCTCTCTCGTTTTTATGTTTGAGAAATGGTATCGCGTTGACGGTTTGCTCTCAATATGATTAACACATAATATAAACAAACACCATCCACATATGTTCAATATATAAATCTTATTCTGAGTCGTCCAATATGTAGGTACTCCGGTGAAGTGTTAGCATATTTTCATGAAATATTATTTAATGCAACTTAATTTCTTTAAAGTTTGTTTATTGTTGCAAATGAGCGAGCGTAAAAACCTATATTTTGAACCCACTGTTTTATCGCTGAAATCTGCGAGAGACAGCTACGAATACGGCATTTTTTGCATCGTCCATCAAATACAGATTTCATATTCAGCCTTGGCGGTATATATTTTTTATGTAGCGTATAGTGACAATATAAAACTTATCAAACAAAATAAGAGTTTGGACATGATATGAAATGTTCTACAATTCATTCACAGCTCATACGCATGAAACTTTCAAGTGTCTCTGAAAATTGTGAATATGAATATAATAAAAATATTTTAAGCTATTTTCATAGCAAAATAAAAATATAATTTATGGTTTATTGTAGAAACGAACAACGAAAAATAGGCATTAGCAATTTATTTCGGTAAACTAGTGTTATAACTACCTACACAGTGTTGCATGTTGATTTTATATTTTTAAAGAAAGTTAAAGAATACCAATCCTTTGAGTTTACAGTTGTTTTGTTTTTATGATTCTTAATGTTGTTTTTTTTTTTCAAAATATTCGAATACATAAATAAATGTTATCGATGTGTTTACGTGTTGTGTGTAAAGTTGCCATTAGATTTTTATGGTAACAAATAGCGAAGGGTACGAGCAAAAAGCCCCTATTGAGCACATAGACGGCGACAGATGGAATCCGCAATTCTATTTCTTGCATTAACAAAGCCAATATGTCAAGCTACCCACTGAGGGCGGTCTGGTATTAGTGACCTAAATTCACTCCGTTACTTTGTATCTCGTAGGAATCTGGCTAAACATTAGCATAATCTGAGCGGTGGTATATGATGATATAAAAATAGAAATCGTTTTATTATATTTATATGGTTGAGAACTGTTATGTTGGTGGCAATGATTGATATGTTGCTTACCACTTATTGAAAGTGAATTAATAAACACGTGTTGTTTACTGCCATTAGGTCGTAACGATATGCGGTATAACGCATCACTTCGACTATTTCTGGAGTGCAATACTCCCGTTAAACTGCAGATGGCTGCGATGTTAAGCAACGGGGTTATACTGGACGACACGCGATGTAAATGTCAATATATATTCAGAATAAATGTAGTATTAAAATATCAGTTTTATCGTGTAATTGATGGAAGCTTATCTTTAGAACAAATATACCGAAGATACGACAACTGTTTTAAATTTAGTTTAACTAATATTTAAGTTTGATGTTGTTTTCTTTTTCAAATCATTTTTAGGGGTTTTTAAATTAACGGCCACGATATACTTTATAACGTTTATAAGGTTAACTTTCAAAGGAGTGTGAATAAAAAACAGTGTATAGGTATACGATTGATGAGCTCTAAGTCTAGCGGTTACGGAGCGGTTAATACTAAGTCTAGAACACTAAATGCTGTTAAGCGTATTGTTTAAGGCGTTTTCCTCACATCTATACAGTATCAGTGCTTATTAATAAACAAGGTTTAGCGTCAGAGTAAATTTACGCTAAAATAGTCCAAATTCATATTATACAGAGAATAAGCAAACCCAATACCTTCTAGGAGTAAATAGTACTCCCGTAGAACCTCATACTAGCTTACCCTTTTGCCAAGTCTCCGTTTAATAATATGAATTTTGACTAATACTAAGTGTAGTCTCAGCGTAAATTTACTCCAACGTTAAACCTTGTTTATTAATATCACTGTAGATGTATAACAAAATTTCTCTCAGTAAGTCTTAAATACCTTTTTTATTCGTTTTTAATATTCATGTATATATACATATGTACTGTATTGAACAATTTAGATATTTAATGAAAAGCAAAAGTGACTGTCTGATCCATCAACGCAAAGCATACTTAAACTAATAGACGAATCAAGCTGACGTTCAACAGTATATAAGTCGCTATCTCATTTACAAATTTTATATTTACGTTTTAAGAATATGTGGATCATCAAATACAATATCTTAATGTTACGTAGGCTATGTTTATTTAGATTTGAATGGTATAGGTATAAACAGTGTTTAGCGCTATAACTTTGGACGTTGACCTTCACACTAAAACTAAAATAGTGTTCTTCTGAACAATTCTATGCCAATATATTATCAAAGGGATAAAATAGTTTTGTGACGTTGATGAATGAAATGTTATTTATTGTACATATACCATAAGTACAGTCAAAATTATGTATACGTATATTAAATCTAACAATCACAATCGGCGGTCTTATCGCTTAGACGCGATCTTTTCTAGTTTATTTGTAAGTGGAATGCATTGATATCTCTAATTTCAAGCTCTCTGATGACATTGAAACATGACTGTGAGTGCGTATTATGGAGGTAATTAAAAAGTTATTTAAGATAAGTAGGAGTAAATGGATTAAACAGAATACTGTAAAGAAGAGTGACAATATGTGTTGATATTAAGGAGAAAATTACATTGAAGAATAAGATGTTAAATGTTTAACGTGTCGGAAATTCATCTTATTATGTGTCAGTTGAATTTTTAGCACAAAAGAGATCAGATTTAAATAGGAAAAAAAAAACATAAAGATGACGGTCGTTCATTATGGCCAAATAGACGTGTATTTCTAGTTTCCAGCAGGAAAATATCACTTTCCAAAGAAAAGGTATTAATATTAAATGAAAATGGAATATAAATATGATATTATTGATATTTATAGATTTTCCTACATAAACTTGAAAAAAAAATAAATAAAGTAAAATGCTTTATCTCCAATGACTTTTCACTGTGCACTTTATCACCATTAGACTGTTAATGTTCCTACTGCTGGGGCAGCTCTTCACTGTGGATGGAATGGAATTGATTCGAATACAGAGAATGGGCCATAATGCAGACCCATAACGCCATGACCCCATAACACAGGCCCAGTTCTGATTGCTGGATAAACGACTGCAGAAGCTGTAACGGTGTGCCATACCACCGTGTATTTTGTCCTAGGTTTCAGCATGCAAACTTTTTGTCTTTGATATTCAACATCATTTCTTTTTATTATTCACCTTTAGTAATTTGAAATTTTGACTAATCAAATATACTCTTTATGGATGTCAGTTCGTAAAAAAAATCATCTGTTGTAACATATAAATCACATATATTATAAATTTAAACATAAAATTTTATTAATAATTGTCAATAATAACGAAGGAGAATAATATAATTTGGAAAAATAAATGTTTGTTCTGTAACTTGGACGATTCAAGTTTTTCTCCTCCTCGCACATTTGCACTTTATAGTGAAAGCGAATTATCATTCACTAAATCAGATAATTATTCAAATTATTTAAATTACGCCAGAACTACATGATTTCACAATTTTCAATGTTTTATAAGAAGATTAGTTTACGAAATCAAAGGAAAGAGATTAGAGACCAGTATTGTCTCTTACAATATTACTATGACTATTGTAAAGTTAGGACTATAGCCCATAAAATTTGCGCTCACCACGCAGTTTTAGTGTGTTATCTGTAAGTGCTTTGCCATAAATCGTTTATCTTGTTTGCTCGGTTTCAAACATAATGTAACTAGGAACGGATCTAAAAAAGGAAGCGGCTAGGATAAAGTCATATCTGTGTCATAGATAAATAGGAACATGATGAATATTGATACTATAGAAAATACTTAAAATGTAGTCCAATCATAAGGAAGAAACTTTTCTTTTCAGTATCTTGTTTCTTAGAGTTTCTTGTTGACGAAGTTTAGTCACCAATATTTTTATTATTCAAAACCTATATATTGTTTCATAATTTTTTATAATATTGGTTTGGATGAAAAATAATATGATAGTTTGCGCATCATATAGGGGGAAACAAACCACTAATGTGTTCACAGACCATTTTGACACACTTTAAACTGCAATGACCAAGAAACGCTATAAAAATAATATAGAATATTTACACCAAAAAAATACGACCGCAATTCCATAAATAAGTAATGTAACTAATTTTTTTTACGCAGTGATCAACACTTTTTGCCACCTCAAAACTAAACAAACCAGGCATTTTCCGCAATAGTGGCACGTTTATCATTAGCCTTTCGCACACGATTTATGACCGTATTGACGTTTCATTAGCACGAAATTTAAGTTGAATTTTGAGAGTTGGTTCAACTTTTCTATCTAGTCTCCGGACATACCCTAAAGCATTGCATGCATAATTTATCGAAATATAAAAACAGGATGAATGTTAAAAGTGAATTAAGCTGTCGTTCAAATGGATTTTTTACATGTTCGACCTATTTATGTCAACTCAACTTTATTTTTAGGGCACCTATCTTCCGCATCGCAGTGGTCGAGTAAAATTAGTTTTATACTAGAAGTCTATAAAAATTTTGTTATCATATAAACGATCTTTAACTTTATTATTTAATTATCAAATAAAAAAAATATAATAATTAATAACAACGTTTTTATAGACATGTTTAGAAATAAAATAATAATACATTTGGCTTTAGGCGATGTTCGTTTAATTCTTTTAATGACTCGGAAGTCTTTGTATGTTGTGTTCAATACGACAGATATTATATTGTACGTAGGATTTCCATTGGTTTTCTACCTTCCATATATGGGCTTCTTTTATTACAATTCAAAGCTTTATTTCGTTCAATTATTTTTTTGATAACACGAAATTCACATTAAAAATTACTTTTTATATCATTGCTCTAAATCGTTAATTAGACGATTAAAGAAATATTTATAAACAATATTATTGAATTTCAATTTTAAAAATATGTGGTACCCACATACAAAGAGTAAACTCTAAATGGACAATTGTAAGAATCCAACAAACGTAGGGGTATGTAAAAGAAAAATGGTCGTCGAGTGAACGGGAGACTCGGAGAGCAATTTAGCAGCCGATTGGAACAAGTATTCGCTAAATTGAAATTCTGTTATGACCCTTACAAAAAGTTTTCGCTCTTGCGTTTTAAAATTTCATTATTGCTGATTATTGCCTTTTTATATAGTAGTTTTTACACTACAGACGATATTATTAAATTGGCTGGTATCAATAATGAATGTAATAAAAAAGTATTTAAAAAAGTAGTTCTCGTAATAAAAATTAACGTCGAAATTAAAATATTTGTAATATTATGTTTTATCATTCATAAATAATCTTGGGATACCTGAGGTTGGTGATTTTTTTAAGTATTGTTAATTTTGGTTTGTAGTGTGTGTTCTATCAAATTGTAATCTAATTTTAATTTTGAGGTAATATATAAGTGAAATAAAATTTTTAAAATTTTAAAAATATTCATCGGTGTGTCTATTAGGTCTTCACGCTGAACCCATGTTCAACTGATACAACCATATATTCCATTTTTTTTTCATAAAAAAACGTCTAAAAGTATGAAAAGTAGACTCTATATTCATTTTGAAGTCATCATTTTCGGTCAAGAATTTACAGAAATATGCATCTATATCGCCATCTACAATGAGACGAACTTCAGATTATTCTTTATTTAATACCTCGTCATTGTTTTTTTATGTTCCGTTTCTATTTACTAATATTACATGGAAACTACATGGGGAACAAACTAAGAACTAAGGTAAACTATTTAATCACTTATTAGATTGCATATACTAATACAGGAAATAACCTACAATAACCAATGTCACAGATAACATACATACATCAACCAATAGTATAATTTCTTATATAAGCGTTTAAAACAATTATAACAATTAATTTATGCACGATAGTACAAATAATGATAACAAAACATATAATTTATTATCATTGCACATTTTTTTTCTATATTGAAGTGAAGATTTTAATAATTTATTTCTATATATTTAATAGCATTTGTATATTTGTTTTATTTGTAGCAATTAAACTATAAGTATGTCGAAAAGGATCGGCAATTAACCTCTGGGTACAGTAGGTATATTAGGTATGTATGTATTATTAATGAAATCAGTCCTTATATTAATATAAGATGAACATCGAAGTTAATACAGGCGTAGTTGATGATGTCATTAAGTTTTCAGTGGTGTACAAATCTCTGGGGTGCAGCAGTTTGTAAAGTTTAAAAAGGGTAAAAACTGTGATGGCGGACAAATAACCGTCACACTTGGATATAACCTATCAAATGTATCAAATGTGTCTATTCGAAAAATTTTATATGATAACGTATTTATCTTAGTGTGCCTGATATTTTTAAGATTTTGACTATTGTATTTTCAAAGTAATGTGAATGAATGCATAGTTTAATAGATACTAGATTTTGTACGCGTAGTATAGTTATTTTCAATACTAAATTTCGATACAAATTTTCATCTATTTCATAATAAAAAGTACTCTATGTTGTTTCCTAAGGTTAATTATAACTCTGTACCAAATTTATTTGGAGTCGCTTATGAAAACATGACAGAAGAGTTACTATCGCATTTATAATATTAGTGGTGATAATAGCTTAAGATGGTTTACCTGCTTTATTGAAACCTCTTCTTGACCGTAAGTTTCGGCTACAACGAAGTCTAATTCGTGACCCATTGGACGTAGCAGTTTTGTATTGACGTCATCCACTGCCATAGAGATAGCCCCTGTGAAAAAAAGACAGTAATTCTGTGATAGCAAATAAGCTATGTTCTTCAGTCTTAATTATGTGGCTTAATAACGACGGAGGAGATGACGCGGGTGTGGGCACTAACAGTGTTATTAATAAAAAAGGTTTAGCTTCAGAGCAAATTTACGCTGAGACTGCGATTAGTATTAGTCAAACTTCATATGATTAAACAGAGACTTGGCAAAGGTTAACCTAGTACTGTTTACGGGAGTAATATTTACTCCTAGAAGGTAAAATAAAAAACTCTTAGAAGGTTTGCTTATTCTCTGTATAATATGAATTTGGACTAATACTAAAATTGCAATTTTAGCGTAAATTTATTCTGACGCTAAACCTTGTTTATTAATAGTACTGTAGCAGTTTGAAAATAAAACCATTGAGCATATGTAAGTATACACGGTACATATACAAAAATAATATTTTTTGTCTCTCAGTCTATCTGTTTGTTCCGGTTAATCTCTGAAATTGCTTTACCGATTTTGTTGGAACTTACACTGGCAGATAGCTTAAGCAATAAAGGATAACGTAGGCTACTTTCCACGCGAAAGAAGTCGCAGCCACAGCTAGTCGTAAATAAATATTACGAAGATTATTTATAGTCACCAAAGCTTCTAATGCCCAGAAAACAAGAGCCGTCAATTAACAACGTCGTGTGTGTCGTTATAATAATAAGTACAAATAAAATATACTTCAAAAACATAGAAATAAACTATCAAAACATAGATAAGTATAAGAGGAAGAAAAGAGGTCTGTCCAGCTGTCGATCCTTAACGTGGTTGGATTCTCTATTAACAAAATTTAAGAATTTAGAAAGGTATATAAATGAAACATATACTTTTTGCTATATAATATGTTCTTAGATAAAATAATAAAAAACTTTGATTTTTAGGGGGTCAATCACGTCTAAACTATGGAACGATAAACTCATTACTTATTTCTAGATATTAAAGAAAATAAATATGTATATTTTTTTTCAAATATTGTGTGAACTTTTGTTATGGTAATAAATTAAAAACCCATTTAATTTCTTTTATATTAATGAATCATTTATTTTGATTGGCTGGGCCAATTTTAGTATGGTGTCGACTAATTGCCGTCATTGAGTGATCCCTGGCAACATACTAAGCTGATTGCAAGTCCCATTGTCTTAGCTATCTATATTAATATAAATAATTTAACCTCTCTAGAAGTTTTCTTATTATAGTAACGTAACGTCTAAATTATATTAGTTGTAGAAGTTTTGATTGGATATTGGTTATATTTTCATCATAATATAATGAGTATAATATGATAAAGTTTTCTTCTAACTTCTAAATTAATGAAGTGGAATAACCTTTAGTGTTTGCCCATTTGATATACCTATGAATAATATGTGTGACTTAAATGTAATATGTTTCTGATTTCGTTATTTAGGTTCAATTTCAGAAAGATTTTTTCTTCTATTTAAAGGAAAATAAATATTATAAGGTGTAATATCATTATATGCCAGCTTCGTGGAGTGGATTAGTTAAGTACACTAAACAACTTTTACAATGAGAGCAACGCTGACTGTGTACTTAACTATTTTTATGTAAAAAAAAAAGAAAAATGATCCGATCCAAAAAAATCTCACATATTCGTTAAGGACTAAAACATGTTTAACTTCAGGGGGCAAAGTGAACAAGAACTAAGTTTTGTCGCTAGCGTAAGAATGTCCTGCTAATGGAAATTTTATCGACATCGCAAAGCTCTCAGGAGCCACTCAAATAGCCGAGACGTTGCTATCGTTTAATCGAAGAAGGTTTTCACTTTCATTCATAGAAAGTGCACTTCATGTAGTTGATATTCAAAATTATAGCCAGAAAAAAAAAACTTTTTTGAATTAGACAGTTTATTTTTCTTAATTCTTGATTTTAGATTCAAAAAATACGTTTGTTTTTCTATATTCTTTGTAAAATTCAACAACCAGTATTAAATATATAAATATAATGTTAAAAAATCAGAAATAACTTTATATTTTTGTCCGTAATTAGGTATAAATTCATATTTTGAGCCAATTATGTACCTATTTCAGTAAGATACTATTATATCGTTATTATTTTTGATTCTAGTGTATTTGGACTTTTTAACAGACTTTAAAAAAGAGGTTATCAATTTCACTTGTTCATTGGCATCTTATTCATATTACCTACACAATCTAAAAATAATCTCCTTAGTTAAGTAGCTAAATTCTGCATTATATAAACCTGAAACAACGAAGGTATCACAACATCCAGACCAGACCTTCAAAGAGTGCATTTATATCCTTTTTATTCTGATATATAGTTGAATTGGATTAGTTATTCAACAATATGCCAATTCAAATACTCACTAGAAGAGCATATGCGGGTTTCACTGAACTTAAAAATTAAATGGTTTCTTACCTGATATAACCCTCCCTGGTTTTTGGTAAGTGTAATCACCAGGTCGTCTCTGAGAACCAGTGATATATCCCAGGGTAAATTTCTCAGCATGGGATCCTCCAAAGGCAAATAACAGGATGCAACATATCCAACACTGGAACAAATGTTGACACTGTAAAACCACTCTATACAGTTAGCTGAAAAGTTTGTGACATTATTACTTTCTCGGTAATAAACGGAACTATATGCAACATCGTGTGCATATCGTATCGTATATTCATTAGTTATGTTTGATAACAATAATAAAAAAATGTGAATTACTTAAATGAAATTCTTTCGAAGTACTTCTACGTGTAACCACTGAACGGATGTAATAGAATTTGGTACAGAGATAGAGTTCATCATCACCCTCCACACGGGCTCAATGCGGATTGGTGGGTATAAAAGGTTACAGAAGCAGCCGGGACAAACGGCTTAACGTGCCTTTCGAAGCACTGAGGAGTTCCAGATAATACATTTTTGGTCACCCATCCTATGCCATTGCGAATGTGTATCGCAGACCGAGCGCGCTAGCCACTGCGTCATCGTCATCTCCTTTGTATAAATATAAACTTTCGTTATTGTCAAAGATAAAAACATAAAACTTTATAAAGGAACTATTATGTTTTAGCGTTTCTGATATTGCCAATGTAACTAACTATACACGCGGACGACGTCACGGGCAAAAGCTTGTATTTCATAATGCAATGAATATAAAAATATTCGTAAAGATGTATTTTGATATTATTAGGTATTTATAATTTGTTTGTAAGTATGTCTATTTAATGCGCTTTTATTTTACTCGTTTGGTGCACATTTACAATGAAAACTTGTACGGTACCGGGCCTCGATCCATTTTATTTCATTGTGACATTGTATACTTTGGTGCAAAAATTAATGCGTAGCAAAAACAGAATTCTTAAATCATTTGTCTTAGAAAAGGGCTATATAATAAATATTTTCTTTGCATTTGTGTTGTTTAACCTACATACGCGTGGGCTGAATAATTGTGTTGTGAGAGAACTTTGTTATTGTTATTACGTTTTTACCACTAAAAATATTATGTCCAGTAATAATAATGTAAATACATACACATATATAAAAGAGAATTATATCTGTGAATATCATAGAATTTTAAAACTAATATTAAGGCATAATTTTATGAAATTGTGGAGTATTGTTGAATTTTATCAGAAAATCATTACAATGTGTCAATTACTTAAAACTAATGTTGAAATCGAGTGGATAGACTTTTATTATATCTAATACAAATGGCTATTTTAAATGATCTGTCAAATGACATAGACGCGTATGGTGTTTCGGAGTCATTCTCTTGTGATATACAGGACTGTAAAAAATTAATTCCAACAAACTCTTTATTGATTCTTCATCAAAATATTAGAAGCGTGAATTGCAACTTCGCTGACTTTGATGTACTATTGACAAGACTTGGAATTAGCTGCGATGTATTGGTCCTAACTGAGTGCTGGCTATCATGTGTTTCCAATAGCCCAACTATAAGTGGTTACAGCTCGTTTGCAACTACCCGTAATTTACTACAGAATGATGGAGTAATTGTTTATACGTTTGTTTGTTTGTCGTATTAAGAATGAACTTACCTTCTCTATAAAGGAGCCTAACATGCAAAACTGTAACTCCCTCCTCATTACAGTTGGAAACCATGATACGGCTATACTAGCAGTTTATCGTTCCCCATCGTTTGTTAACATTGATCTGTTTTTAACATCACTCAACGAAATATTAAAAACTTTAACTGATTATAAGAATATTGTTTTTATAGGAGACTTAAATAGCAACACAATTGCAAAAAATCTTACTTCATCTACTGATCAATATTTGACATTCATGGCCTATAATGGATTACTACCTGCCCATCTTTTAGTAACGCGTGATGTAAGTGGTTCGTGCGTAGACCATGTTTTTTTGAAAACCAAAGCCTCTGCTGTCACTATGATCTTAGAAACTACGTTAACAGATCACAAAACTATTTTGTTTTGTCTAAAACAAAAACCGGCTCGCCAATATGCAACTTTTACTCGTAATATCATTGACCATAATAATTTGAAAAAAGACATAAGTAATATAAATTTAGATTTGATTTACCAAACTAAGGACTGTAATGTAGCAATGGATTATCTTATTAATGAAATTAAATGTAGAATTGAAAAAAAAACACGCAGATTATAAAATTATCTCGGCGTAAAAAAATCATTAAACCATGGATAACACCTGGCCTTCTGCGTTGCATATATAATCGCGATAAATTGCATAAAAAAACTAGATCCTATCCAGACAACCTAATTTTAAAAACAACATACATTCGGTATAGGAATTTTTGTGGTATTATACTTAAGAGGGCTAAACGTAATTATGAAAGAGATCTTGTGGAAAGAGCCGGTAAAGATAGTAAAAAATTATGGCAAACAATAAAAAATATCACAAACACAAACAAGGATAAAACTTACCCCAAAGAGTTATTAACTATATGTAATAATATACAAGATTCTATAGATTATATAAACAACTATTTTGTAAACGTAGGTAAAACATTAGCAGAAAAACATGTTTCATTAGAAACAAATACACTGTCTTGTAATAACATATCAGGCGTTGATTACTCTTTTGTTCTCTCTGCCACAAATGAAGAATAAATAAATATACTAATACTAGGATTGAAAAGTGAGTGCTGTATGGGATGGGACAAAATACCAACCAGACTACTAAAGGAACACAGAGCTACACTGGTACCTCCTATCACACACATCTATAACATGTGTTTAGAAAGCGGCATCTTTCCCAAATCTTTGAAAAGATCTGAAATACACCCAATTTACAAAGGCTGTGGGGAAAGGAACTGTGTTGGAAACTATCGACCAATAGCGATTCTCCCCTCGCTCTCAAAAATCTTAGAAAAGATTATTAATAATCGCCTCATTGATTACCTTGAAGAAAAAAAATTAATAGCTAGTAACCAGTTTGGTTTTAGGTGCGGTAAATCGACAAATGATGTAGTGGGTAGTCTAACAGATTTTATTACGACCAATCTTGATAAAGGTAACAAATGTATTACAATATTTTTAAATCTAGCGAAAGCTTTCGACACGGTTCCTATTCCTATCCTTATAAATAAGCTAGAAAGAATGGGTGTTAGAGGTACACAATTAGATTTACTAACAAATTACTTAAAAGACAGAACTCAATATATCAAAATAGGCCCTCATATTAGTGCAGAACTGCCAGTTACTTATGGGGTACCTCAGGGCAGTATTCTGGGTCCTATCCTCTTTGTCGTTTATATTAATGATCTACTATGTATCAAATCTTTTGGTGGAAAAATAATCTCCTATGCAGATGACACTGCTCTCTCTTTTGTTTCAGAGACGTGGAATGAGGCATATAGAATGGCTCAAATTGGTTTTGATAAAATTAACACATGGCTTCAAAATAATAAATTAACCTTAAACATCGAAAAAACCAAATACATAGCTTTTTCCATACGAGATCAATCATACTCCCAAAATTTATTCTCACATAATTGCACATTAACAGCTTCTCGTTATGAGTGTCAATGTAAAACCATAGAACGCGTCGAATCTATCAAATATTTGGGCGTTGTAATCGATGATCACTTCTCTTTCAAACAGCATATTCTGGCTTTGGCAAAAAGAGTTCGGAAATTAATGTATCTGTTTAAGACACTAATACAAGTTGTTCCAGCGGAGTCTCTAAAAAATATCTATTTCGCTCTGTGCCAGTCCTTGCTCACATATTGCATAACATCCTGGGGTGGTGTACCGAAGACTACAATGAGATCGTTGGAGGTAGCGCAAAGAGCTGTACTAAAAGTTTGTGCGTTTAAGCCTTTCTTTTATCCCACAAAGCTTCTATATGAATACTGTGATGTAATGTCTGTGCGCCAAATTTACTTACTTAATATAACTTTAAAACAACATACCTTGTTGGAATATAACTCTAACTATCTGTCGCGGCGTAGATATTTTGCGGTTTGTAGACAGGTGCATAAACCGAGAACTACTTTTATTCGGAACTTTTTTCTATTTTTAGGCCCATTTATGTATAACAAAATTAATAAAATACATAACATTTACCCGTTAAATAAAAATGAGGTGAAAAGAATAATATCATGTTGGATAAAAAAATTAAGTTATGATGAAACTGAAAATTTAATAAACGTGATTACCTAATAAATAACCCTCTATATCTCTGACCTGTTAAACTGGCCAGTGGCTATATACTGACTGGTCAAATGGCTTTCTCACCGATTTTACAGTGTTGCCGTAACATAGTGGTGCGCTTTTTGCTCTCCGAGACTGATTAGTTTAATGGTAACTGTTTCTCGCGGTAAAAATGTTTTATGGTGTTTGGAATTTTAAGTTTTATAATTTACTACTCAACTTACTCACCCTCTCACACGCACTCAGTCATTATCATTCTACTCACCGAGGGGATAACACTATAAGTTAAGATAAGTTAGGTAACTTAAATTCAGTGTCGCTTATCTGCTTAATATATACTAAGTAATTTCAAGAATCTGAGGTTTTGAGGCGCTGTATGCTGAAAGACGGGTATCAACTCAGTTCAGCAGCAGATGCAAATTAATTAGGTACAGCATATGATAAGCTTAGATATAACGAAAATCATGTATTTTGTTGTGATCTAATAAATATTATTATTATTATTATATCCTGTTATTATGTTAACGAAATAATGGCACTTGAATAACGTTTCAATTAATTTGATTTTTACATTGCATTATTCACTTCATGCCAAAGATTTGCAATGGCATCTTGATGAATTGATGACGACAGATTATTTTGTGACAGTAAAGTAACAAGAACTGTTATTATTTTGATCAATTTAGCATTAACAATGTTTTACTGGAAAAAAATCTTAATGAAATATGCTTAAAAACTCCACTCTGTTACTCTCTCGTTGGGATCTCATCTCAGAGTACCAGGGAAAAATTTTTAAGCATTGAATGAATGAATGAATGAATGGATGAATGAATGAATGAATGAACACTTTATTGTACTTGAAAAGAAAAGTCAACATAACAATTCATAAGAATTAACA